CAATTCAAAATATATATCAGTCTCATGAATGAGAAAAAGTATGGTGGTAGTTGGAGGCGTCGCCCAAAGTAGGTATAGTCTTTGTTGTGCTCCCTGTAGTGATCATAGTCTGTTTTTATGGCAAGTTTGAACTCTTGGGGAAAGTGTTTCATGTAAAGAAGGTTTATGTGTTTTCATCTTTAGACTTCTCTCAATACTTATGAGGGAACTCTGAAGAGACGAACGTGTGTTCGATTTACTTATCTTTTACTGTTTGGAGTTTCTCTGTGCGATGGAGAAACAGCAACTTTAGCGTATCATGAGGTTCTCTGAGGATTTCAGATTTTTTCCTTCATGTGTTCACCTTGCCCAACAACACCAGAGGCACTGAGATCTGCTGTTTATCCCCCTATAAGATGTTGTGATACAGTGAGGGTACAGTACTTCATAGCCAATGCAGGGTGTGTGTTTGTGCGTGTGCATGTGGGGATGGATTCAATACGGCTGCACTTCCTCACCAATTCAACAACTATTTCTGTCCTCGTTTTCCTCTCTGTGACTTGCAGATAAGAAAATGGCTGTAGCAACCATAACTGTGTTTTCAGAAACCACCATTGTTTCCTGAGCTAGTGTTGAAGGGAGATTAAAAATAATAAGCACCGGTGCCATTAGATATTGCAGCAGGCGACAAAACATTCATTCCAGTTTGTTGTTGAACTGCTACCCGGCCACTCTGCAGGGACTGATAAAAGTTACGCTGCAGGCAACCTGTCTGTATTTATGCATTTGTGCTTACTTAGCTATTAAGGATGGGATATGGTGGGCTTATAAAGCCAAACATGTGGACTTACTGAAATGTTTATAGTCCAGATATAGTTGGTGATATTTGGGGAAGATAGAGGGTGTGAATCTTACTCGATGGTGTGATTCTATGTACCAAGTTAGATACACATCACGTATCTTCTCTAAACATGATGTAGGGGCAATATGGGTCTTTGACTTCACTCTGTATTTAAAAAACCAAACTATAGACTGTAGATTAAGATGGACCATATGCTAGCTCCAAAAAGTGAAGCAAAAAATGTTGATCGCCCCCTTGTGGTTGGCTGCAGTATAGATCATAAACTTCCTATGTGTCATGAGATGGGGCATGGACCAAATTAAAAAGTCCAAGTAAACGTCAATCGGTAGCTAATATGTATTGAAGGTTATAAAGTTAAGTGCAGTGGCACAGGATGATTGCACGAGAGAGCAAAAAAAAACATGTAATGAAAACAGTAAAAACAAGAGGAAATGATTGACAGCTGAGACTGGATCGCCATTGGTTGAGCACACATAACGGTAGGACCTCGACACAGTCACTGTGCAGACAGCACAAGATGGCGGCACCAGAGTCCGAGATATTTTAGTGTAATTTTTGTACAACAAGAGGGAGTGGAGCTGCATCATCCATCTTTATCCAACATACACATCCCAGTTAAACAGGCAGCAATTTTAAAAGTTGATGGACCAAATAGCAGACACGAAAAAAGACGAGATGTCAGATCAGATTGGTATTTTGTTTTCACGCTGTTTTGCTGTTTCTCTTCAACTAGAAAGCAGAGATTAGCAGAGTATTTGTTTTTTCAAACACGTTTTTCAACAGTACAAGAGGAAATATTTTCAGGGTTTCGCTGCTTCCTCTGGAGTGAAAACTTTCCCAAATCCAATAAAGAGCAGGGCAGAGACACAAGCCCAAACTCTGATAGCATCGTTGGATACCACAGGACTTCTTTTAATGTAGCCTGTATTGCACAATCACTGCTTGAGGATGGGCTTAGAGAACATGTGTCGCAATTATATCAATAAGACTTGTCAAATGCAGCCGCTGGAAGAGAGACGTGCACCTAGCTGGGTTTTATTTTGGCATTTTATGATTGCCTGTGGCAGGTTATTAAGTTGTTACGATGCAGGCGAGACCCGAGTTCAAGCCACAGCTCCACGAAGCAATGATGAAGGATGAAAATGGAAACGCACACCTATTCATCATAAGACTGATTTATCGAGCAGTAACCTCTGTGGTCAGCTGGTAAATACCTCTCTATTCTATAAGGTGCTGCAGTTTGTGGTGACCACGTTCAATTACTGTTCCCAACAAAGGAAAATTGATGTTTTTCTTTACAGTTTCCTTTAGGCAGTTATGTTTTAGAATTCAAATGAGCTTCTATTTTGGGATGATTGATTTAAAGGGAAAAATATCCTTTAATGGGAAGGGCAAAGTTTAACTGGAGATTCAATCATTCAAACAACCGCATACTATTTAAGTTTGTTTACAGAACTTATCTAATTGATCCCCCAGCTCTGCTCCACGCTGGCTTATTTTCTGAATGCATACGAAATCTGTGTTTTTTCTCTGGGAGTCAACAGAACTAAATGTGCTGCTAAATCTGTGGGACTTCAAAGCTGTTTTTCTCTGCTCTCTTGCCAGGGTCAACACAGATAGCCAACTCCTATCTGCCTCCCCAGGCAAGACTTAGAGCTTTGACTGTTGGTTTGTGGTTAGTGTTCAAACTTGGCTGCAACATTCAGCCAGCCAGCGTCAGCAGCAGCAGCAGCAGAGGCAACAACGATACACACATGAGAGCTGTGGCAGAGTGAAAAATATGAAAAAGATATATATTGGCAAAACTGCCCTCAAAACCCAGAGAAATGGTTGCAAACATCAGAAAAGAAGGTGAGTCAATCTGGGGATTTTCGTTTTAAAACATCAACCTCATTATTGGGGAATTCATTACATTCAGTTTGACTAATGAAAATGGATTCTCATTGGGAGATCATGGCCATTAAAAAGCTATTTAAAACATAATGTGGCATGTATTCATTACCATCATTCATCTTCATATCAGTTGTCATGTATCAGCTGACATCTACATCAAAGTTAACTCCGCTCTGAATTTTAACGACAGTCTTGTGATACCCTAAAAAAAAAAAAATCAATCCCTGTGTTCTCAGACTTAATTAAACTGGCTTTACTTAGTGATAAGAGCCCAGAGCAGTTTTCACATGCACGTACAACAGCTCCAACAGCTCTCTGGATCTCTGCCATGTGACTTTACAACATCATTTGCAGCAGTTAGACAACAGAGAGGCTGTAAAGATTTTGTTTAGTTGTAAAGTCAGGCGAGCAGAGTGAGCTGAAGCTGTAAGTATCTTTCCATCGAGCTTTCATCTAGAATGTTATCTGGATATCTGTCTAGAAATTGACCAGATTCTAGTATGACTGGGCAGGAATAGCAGAATAAATTGGCAGTTGTAGGCTTTGAGAAATAGAGGGTTGCACCAGCCACAGTTTTCTGTCCGAACCTGACCAAGCTCTATCTGAGCCTGACAAACATTCTGACCAGACAACATTTTCACAGATTACAGGAACAGTGTGGTGTAAAGTAATCAAGTATGTAGCCTGAATATCATTTTAACATTTTGGTTCACTCACATATACATACACATATTCAGTTTCTTGCTGACAGTTAGATGATTGATGTCTGGATTCTGTAAGAAATTAAACTAACAACCGGTGGAGATAGCTGGTGATCGTAGACTTCTGCCTTGAAAAGTGAAGTCAATGCGGAAGTGCGTGAAATTTCTCTGGAGTAACAGAGGCCTACTCCACTGGTTGCAAAAAGAAGTCTGTTTCTATGGAGGTCTATGAGAAAATGGGCCTGCTCCTCATTTGATAATAATAATTTTGTGAATGATGGTACCATTAGAGGATACCATGTTATTGGTGTAGTGCAGTCCAATGGTTGCAGGTGTAGGTGGGACCAGAGTCTATAAGTCTTCCTGTGGAAAACATTGCCTCCTTCTTTGGTGCCAGCTTCTTAATTGAGGCTCTGGGCTGAGGTGAACATGGAGGTGCTCTTGTTGTGCCTGCCAGACAGCAGCACTGACGCAGCCACGCATCCATCAGTCTGGCAAAATGCTAAATATCCCAGAGCGCACAATGCCCCTGCTCGCCATCTCTAGTCTTTCATTACCACATCCATTCTCTCAGTGTGTGTTCATCCCCCACACTCAAACATGCTTCAAACGCACAACAGAAATATAGCTCTGAGTGTGGTGAGTTGTTATTGATGATGGTGGTGTTGGTGAATCTGTCTTACTCTGGCCTCGCACACTTTCATCCTCTTTCTTTGCTTTTTCTCCCTCTGTTAACGCTCGCTCATACACAAAGATGTGGTTCATTCTCCCATTCTCATATTTCCACCTCTTCTTCAATGAATCACACACAGTCTGTATCTGGGAGCAAAAGAATCCTTTCCTTTTCTTTCACAGATTCGATGGGGAGGGCCGTATAAACCAATTCACCATTTCAGCGATGGGAGCTCCTCTCCCAGCTCTGCTCTCTCTGTGAATGGGACATGATTAGCATTCCTCCTCCATCCATCTCCTCCTCCCCATTGGCCCCACAGCCTTCCCCCTGCCTGGGACCTCTCTTGCTCCAAACAGAATTACACTCCAGCTACTTCATCCCTTTCCCTCACTCCCTCCCTCCCTCCCTCCCTACCTCACAAACACATGCACACTTCATTTTTCACTCTATTGCCTTTTTTGTTTTCTCCCTCCCTCTCTCTGCTTGGCTCTATAAGTCTGACAAACTTTGGTAACATCATCGATGTGATTGTGTCTTATCAAATCCTGTATTCTAAACTCTACCTTCTGTTCAGCTCATTCCACGACCACAAGGACGACCTCCGTAAGCGCCTGTCGTACACCACCCACAAACTAGAAATGGTGGAATCGGAGTTTGACTCAACTCGGCAGTACCTCGAGACGGAGCTGCGCCGGGCCCAGGAGGAACTGGAGAAGTTTACAGAGAAATTACGCAGGTGTGTGTGTGTGCGTTTACACATGACTCAATGGGCTGGTTTTATATGCATGTGCTGTGAAGATGATCAGATATGTAAATCTCTAAAGTTGTGCTGTAATGTTAGTTACATTAGTTCGATCAGGTGAAAGATAAATGGTGGTTTCAAATGCTTTGACATTTAAAATATGCGACAGCTAAACAGCAACATTAATGCTGTTGTTTACTTGAAGCTAAATAGTTTGTTTTCCAACCACATTTAAAAGTGTTCATTAGAGACAACATGCCATCAGAGTAACTGCTAAAAAAGGGATGATGGTGCAGACAACCTGTACAGTGGCATTCATGGTGTTGTACTTGTTTTTATTCATGATAGGGAACAGAAATAGCTGCATGAGGAGAATCATAAGTTCTAATAAAGAGAAATAAATTATTCTCCCCTATGCGTCTGTGCTAGTGACCAGAGCCCAGAGGTATGTTTTTGGATTGTCCATCCGTCCATAAATGTGATCATGATATCTCATGAACGCCTTGAGGGTGTTTCCTGGAATTTAGTACAAACTTTCAGTTGTAATCAAGGATGAACTGATTAGAATTTGATGGTGTCAAGGGTCAACGTCTCAGTGGCCTTGTGTTCATGTGAATGTGCTGTATCAGGAGCACCTGTTGGGAATTTCATTACATCTGGCACAAACATTGACTTGGACTCAAGGACGACCTGATGTGAACTGAGTAGTCAAAAGTCAAAGGTCAAGGTCGTGTTGACTCATTTGTGACCCGTTATCTTAAGAACGACAGAATCCTTTCAGATTTGGCAGAAATAATGCTCAAACTTTCATATTATCTAAATACATGTGGCTGGTCAGGGTGGCCATGTTATTGTAAACATAAAGCATTATTATAATTATAGTCGTCTAAGGACATTACTACACTTTATGGCAATGACTGAAATGTGGCCTAATGCCAGTAATACTTTACGACAATATGTTTTTAAAGAAAAACTAATTCTGGCATCATCTTTGAAATAAATCTTCATTTATTATAGTAATAAATGGTTGGGTGGCCTCCAGATATGACTTTTAATTTAGTGTGATGATAACCTCACAGCAAATACTTAGAACTCTCTGGTCAGACAGACCCGTGCTCTCTCTGTGGTCATGTTATAAATAAATGTGATAATTCTAATGGTTAAATAAGCTTGAAACTGTTCTTTGAATCTTTGGAGAAAAACTTTGAAACTTAGAGAGCAAAAGTCTGGAGCATTTTTAGATTTGCCCACGAGACTTTCTCACCCTGAGATTGATCCTCTCAAGCTGTTTTTTTCCAAATCCCATCCCTCTCTTTTTCTGTTTTGATTGGCAGAGCCCAACCCCTGCTCGCTGCCTAATTTTAACCATCTGAATGAAATTGTTGTTCCACTGAAGCGCTGCTTTATTGGCGCTTATTTGCTCTTGAAGTAAAACATATGTTGTGATTTTAATTTTTTACAATTTCTTCCTTTCTTTTGGTTCTAGGATCCAGAGTAGTTATGCAGCTCTGCAGAGGATTAACCAGGATTTGGAGGACAAGATGCACAGGACGGTAGGAGAGTCTCACTGAAGTGTTTACAGTTTTAAACATATCAGTGTCAAAATGCTGCCTGGCACAGACTCAACCAAACGTATGTCGTGATTTGTAAAGTGATGGTGCAGGGAAACAAAACAACTTTGAATTTGTTAAGTGATATTTTAATTTTTATCACAACAACTTCACAACCCCCCTTTTTACTCAAAAGTCCATGTGCTAATTTCAAACTAATTTATAGCAGGATAAAAGTAATAACATTTTATATTCAGAGTCAAAGGTCAACTTAACTGTTGAACACATTGCAATATAATGTGCACTCACATTAGCAAACATCATTTAATGACTGTATTAAATATTAGGAGCTGTGCTTAGAAGGAAGTTATCTGGTGTCAGACTGGAGACAGACAGAAAAACAAGATATCAATAAACACACAAGCTTCAGATTCTCAAATACAGTGATCGTAATAAACAATATGATGATGAGCTATGATCTCACACATGCCAGGAAATGTAAGAGCGATGATGACGTCTTCCTCTCCCTGCTCTCTCTTTTCATTTCTTGTCTGAGATATGAGAAATACACTGACATCGATCTGAACACACCTGTTTAGCAGCAGAACCACTCTCATCTCTCTCAGAGCAATTACATGATCACAGGCAGGGAGCACAATCAATGTCCAAAGTAATTGGTCTTTTCTGCCATGCAGCCCTGTTAGAAAACTATTACAACTAACTGCTGTTCTGATCACCTCAGCAGCGGCTGTCCAATCACATCAGGTTGAGAGGTTCCCTGAGAGTCCCCCCCACCCCTCTTACAGCCTCAGGTTTAGGACTCATCAGCCAGAATCAGTGAAGATGTGCCGGCTGTACAGCGACGGCCAACCTTATGACTTACACTATCTTGATGAAAGTGGATCGTAATCTCATCAGGAGTTTGATCCACGGAGCTTGTCGTCTCAACACACACACTGATGGAAGGAGACTGTGTGAAGATAATAGAGAACAAGCTGTCAGTTGCTCGAGTATTGACTCATTGTGCGATAAATGCATTTCTGTATTCAGCTGATTTTCATGGAGCCTATTACTTTCTTGTCTGTTTATATAAAACGCTGCAGGATATTTGCATATTTATATCTTAAGTACGGACGTGTAACTACTTTATGAACAGTTTTTCCTGCTGGTTGCATTGCGACATTACAGTGCCTGTACAGTGCCTGTCTGTCTGGAATGGGCTGCTTGTTTGGCCTGTGGTGATGCTGGTTGCTGCTCTCTCTCTGAAACTGTATAAGTGACCTGCAGTAATTGAGTTGCATCACGTAAAGACCGACTGCACGACTCAGTCCACTGAACCATGAAGCTGCACCACTGCTGCTGCACAAAGAGCTGTTCACCTGTTTATTCAAAGTGCTGTGAAGCTTGGCTGAGTTCACTCAACCCTGAACGGAGGATTAGTTGTTGTTGCCGTTGTTGTGAATGATGACGTCACCTATGCTGCCATTGCTACAGAACACTGGTCGCCAGGTTTATTAACCTTCAACGTATCACATGTTGTAGTTGTGCTAAATGTGACGCTGTACTTCCTTAATACATTCAAACAGACAGAATTACTATAGTCATGACAAGACTAAGGAAACCAACATCAGACCCCCCACCAAGAAATACAACAAGTTACTCCATGAAACCTGCTTTTTCTGTCCTTTCCATTTTTTTCTCTTATGTTTTCTATACTATATAATTTCACACATTTCATAAAGCTGGAAATAGTTTTCTCTTTATTAAGCAAGGTGGAAAGGATGTGGAGGGGAAGGTGGTGGATAGGCAGATTTTCAAAGAAGTTTTTACTCTTCAGTCTTTTTGAACCCCCGAACAGTTTATCGTCTCCATGGCAGCAATACACATTACAGGAAACATCTGTAGGTTAAACTTGGATTCTAAACTTTTAGTTCTGGCTACCTGTAAAGATAAACAATAGACAGCGATATAAACTTACAAGTCTACGATGACTATAAGAAATCTACAATGCGACTTCGTCTGCTTGTGCTGGTGTTTGGCTCTTTACGCAGAAAAACGTACTCTCAGGCCGGCACGATATTTTTAGAAATCTGGATATTTTTAGAATTCTTATACTGATCCCTAAGATATCGCTGTGAGTGATTGTTTGGCAGAAGCTGCTGTGAATACACATTTTGATTGTGGCAGATAATAGAGATTTTTGTTTGGATGGATTTTTTTCTGGGAACCTGTGCATGCTAGTGAACCAGTGAGGTGTGAAAAATGTAATAAATCAACCCGGACATGGAATTCAGTATTGTACATTCAGACGACAGCCATTCACAACACCATCTGTCTTACGGTATTTGCCGCCTATTATTTGTGATGTTCCAATGTAATCCTTCTTGCTTTGTCATATCATGGGCAGACTGAAAGCCTGGAATCCCCCCCCCCCCCCCACATGGCTCATTCCTCTCATATGCTACAAGCATACATCAATGTAAAAACTGGTAGCTTCTCAAAAGGGGATTGTCTGTCTAGCGGAGAGTCTCTGTGAAGCATGTCGGTCTTCATGGCTTCAGAAAATGTGCTTTTTTTACTTTTAGGAGGCAGGCCTCATTGGGATTGCCATTTCTTTTGATGTCATGTCATGCAATGGCATTTCAAGTGGAGGGCGGGGGTGTGTGTGTGGGGGGGTATGTTCCTTTGTAGAAGACAGTACAGTCAGTCAGGCAGCGACAAAGGCAGCTTCAATCAAGTTTGACGCGTAATTAAAGGTTCTGAGGGGCCTGGACCAGCAAGGTCAACGGGAAAACAGCGAAAGAATAAACCTGCTTCATAAAGAGCAAAGTCAGAGATTAACAACGGGAAGAGCTGACAAGATGCATGTTGTGATGACATTGAAGTACTCGCAGTCAGCATGGATCTGATCTGCAGATAAACTGTGCAGCAGAGGAAGCAGTTTGCACAGACAGAATAAAACCTTATCTGACTTTAGCTTGTAGCCTTTTGTTCCAAACAGACAGGAAACATCAAGGATTCACACTGAACACTGACTGAACACATAATTAACTACTAAAAATGTAATAAATTCAACCTATACTTGTGATAGATTTAATATGACTCGTTTATGTTTGATGTTATCTTCATCTTTTTTTTAACAAGACGTTAACTGTAGTCCTTCAGCGGTGAGGGAGCTCTCCGTGGTGCTGAAAGCCTTTGTTTTTCTGAAGCCTATTTGCAATCCGTCTTCCGCAGGGTCAGTGAACTAACTCCGCCCTGGAACAGGCAGGAAACCAGAGTCTGACCCGGGGACTGCCCTCCTAACAAGGATAATGTCCCGTTCACCAGCAGCTGTCCACCGCTAACCACAGACCTGTTGTTAATTTTCAGGGGTTGTTCTCAGTTACCTAGGCAACTGGACTTGATTGTGTTTCTTGAAGGCTTTGATTCATTAACTTCAGTTTCATCTTTTTGTTTTCCATTACTTTTGGTGGGTTTTTATCTTTTTTGTAAATCTGGTAAATCCCATTCAGATTGATATAACTACATAAGTTCTTCATTATAACTAAAATATTCACTAAGCCATAATAGAAGGAAAGATTTGCAAAAACAACACAATGATCAGAATAAACTAAATCGTAGCCTATTTTAAAATATTGAGATTTAAGACTTGTTCCTGTTCCTCTGGGGCTAGAAAGTGGAAACTGATGCTGAACTATTAGTCTGAATAAAGAAGCAATTTTAAGATACCACTCTGGACTCTAACTTGTGATGACGGGCATCTGTCGTTATTTTATCAATATTTTACAGACGAAATCATTTCTCATTTGAAAGACTGATCAATAGGATAATCAATTATGAAATATGACTGCTAGTGGCAGCCCTCCTCTAAGCATCCTTCAGTGCATTATATGATCCTGTTGTATGAATCTATCACCTGTCATAACCAACAGTGAATTATTTAGGTTTATTTATAAAGCACAAAGGCTCAGTCTAATCTCTGGGGCCTCTGATCTGTTCTTTTTATAAAAAAGCATTAAATGATTCATATTGTTCGATCCAGGATCAATGCATTTGAGCTGCTCAGTTTCATGGATGGTAGAATCGGTCCAGTAATTGTTTGTAAAGTGAGACATGAATACACTGGTGAGAAAAACAAAGGAGAAATAAACAGAATATGGAGGTTTACGGTCATAAATACTGTATGTGTCGTTCTGTTCGAAATATGTGGTCGGTGAAAAAGAGTAGTCATGGAAACCTGAGGCAGGGAGGCATTTGTTGTTGTTTTGAAGTCACAGATTCCCCAAAGAAGGACAGACCAAATAGCAAATGATCGTTCGTCCGTCTATGCTCATCTTTGTTTACCGGTGTGAGGTGTGTGAGGGGAAGAACAACCTTGGTGGGAAATGAGAAACGTGAGAGGGTCGTCTGTGTTAATGTGTCGCTCTGTGATTGTACCTCCGCGTGTCGTTCACTGCTCTTCAGTGAGCAGCAGCGAGGCCAACCCGCGGCGCACTAATTACTTCCATTCACACTACAGTCGTAAATCATAACTCTTCAAGACGAGGTGAAAACTACAGACAGGACAGAAGCTGTGCTTCAAGTGAAACCAGGCCGATGTAAATGCACATAATTACCAACTCCCCGTTTTAATGTTGTATAATTTAGTATTTTACACACAACTGTGATAGCGATTTATCCTTTTATTTTAGTTCATGCTATAGCTGGTGTGGCAGTCAGTAGAACGCATACCTCCAACAAACCCCAACAGTCTCCTTAAATTCAGTCAAGCTGCACCTTGTTTAGATCTGCACTCAAATGTAAGGGAATCTTTCTTGGCCAATATCCCACCGTTCTAACAAGTTTCAAGAAAATCAGTTCTGTAGTTTTTGTGTAATTGTGTTAAAACAGTGACAAATGAGACGTGAAGATAGATAGACATAGACTTTCAATTTCTTTCCAACCTCTTATTTTTTCTTTATTCTTTCATAATGTCTCAGCCTCTGTGGGGATTCTCCTCCTCCTCATTCTCATCAAATGTCTCTGAATTATCATGAAGATAAAGACGGACAGGTTTATATATGTCGGCATTTTCACAGTCCGATTTTAATCTCATTTAATATTTCACCATGGGGTAGTTTTTTTTTTTATGAGCAGCACAAGACAAATCTGAGTTGTTGCAGTAAAATATGTAAAACGAGCAGAGCAGAGCAGCAACAACTTTATTTCTACATTCAAACAAACATGCTCATTCAACATGTTCTTTACCATGAGGTATTTTTACTAAAGTGTAATTACTGACACATAATCCCACTATATAATCCTCTACATTCTACATTTAAGTCCCAGTCAGTGAATTCAGACACAGACAGTCCATGTCCATGTCTGCATCCGATGCTTTTTGGCAATAGAACATAATTTAAAAAATAATATACAACTACTATTGTCTGTGTTCACTCCTGCGTCATTTCCAACAATATCACTCACCTCAAGAAGAGGCCTCATCAGGTGAAGTACATATTGATCATGATCGATTACATATTGTGTAGCGAGGTTTACGTCTGTCCAGTTGATAATCATACTGATCCGAGAGCTTTCATTAAATTACAAACTCACATTGTGAGCATCACATGGGAAGTTATATATGGATAATACAATATAACGCTGTGTCTGAAAACTGCTGATAGTGATAAATGATAGTTATCATTTGCATATTCATTTCCCTGATGCTGTTCTCTTCACCAACTGATAAGAACGTCTTGGTGGCAGCCTGTGTATCCAACGCAATGTGACTGAAGGAGAAAAAAAGTCAGTGTGCACTGTGATTCCTCCGCTGTCCATATAACGCTGTATTTAGAATTACACTTCCTCGATCGTTATCATCTCATCAAGCCCATTTAAATTTCCCTCTGTTCATTTTTAATCTATAGGTCGACAGTTTTGCTTCTAATCATGTGCAAAAGAAGAATCAGCACGTTAGAGAATCCGAGCAATTACTTGATATTTGATATCAGAGTCAGAAGGTGGAAGGGAAAGATTTTTACACTTGACTTCAAAGTGGTAGACATCAGTGTTTTCACATGTACATGTGTGGTCAGTTCCCACACATCACTTCATATTTGAAATATGTTTATCACAAGAGACATGTTAGGTGAATTTTGAGATGAAGAAGGAAACAGACACTGTCATGCTTGTTTCTCATATTCAAGCTACTCTAGTTAAAATTGATAAGATATATATTCCTACAACCGGTTTGAAAATGACCTCATTGTTGTTTTAATTTATGTGAATTAAAATGGCCAATGAACTCAAACATATATTCATACAAAAATTAAGAGATTTTAAAGCTGCAACAATATTTTTTACAAATGCTAAATCAATGATGATGTGTGATATGAAAGAGCTTTGCCAGTAGGTTTGTGTGTGAATGTTGATGGTTGTTTGTCTTATTGCTTCTGAGCAATTCTGACTGGAAAGACAGAACAGGGAGCGATTACATATTTGAGCGTTAAAACATCCTGATGTGGACGTGTGCACAGTCAGCATCACAAAAATACAAATAGAAATCCGGAGTAATGAGCTGGAGAAGGAGCGCCACAGAGCCGCTTGTCTCCATGGCTGATTAATGAGACCCTAACAGAATTAGATTTGAATATCAAAGCTGGCCTACTGCTTAAAGTGACATTAATTGCCACCTATCAGATTAGCTATGTACCCCTGTATTTCAAAACAATCACCGCCATTGAGAGATTAGAAGGGAGAGGAGTGGGAGGCCAAGCCGTGTGTTCAGAGCTGTATCATTTGTCAGCTGCTGCCGTGTGGCAGGTTTCACAATTACTGTCGTTTGTGGGTGTGTGTGAGTGTGTGAGTGTGTGTGTGTGTGTGTGTGTGTGTGTGTGTGTGAGAGAGAGAGAGAGAGAGAGAGAGAGACTGTCACTTTGCCAACAGAACCCATTACTGGCCCCTAGAGGCTGTAATTTCATCTGCAGAGTCCAGTATTAAGTAATAGGGAAAAACCATTTACAAACTAATGATAATAATTAACTCAAGGTCCACTTCCTCTGGAGCTTTCAACTGTGTCACACAGTCTTCTTCAGCAGTTAGAGTTTGCTGCTATATTACTTTGCATTGTAAATTGAATATCCATGATTCTTAGCATCTGTAAAGGACGATTATCAACGATATGTTTATCGAGACTTAAGTCTCATTATATTACAGAAACCAGATTTGAGAAAACTGTATTTGCCGTATTGACTTTGACTTTGTAGTTTGGTCCATGTCTGATTTGGCCTCACTTTTGAGGAACTGTCATGTCGTCCGTGTTCATAAGCAATTTATGGTCCTGTTTCACCTCCACATTTGGGCTGATTGTAGTGGATGAAAGGTCAGGGCCATCAAAATCACCACAGGAACGTCTGAGATAGATGTGGACACACAGAAAGACCGACAACCAGACGTCAACATCACCAGGCGCCGCTGTTGGTGGATCTAAAATGTCACTGCAGCACCATCACTTTACATTTCTTTGACAGAAATCACAAAAAAATGGAACAAGTTCTTCATTTGTCTTTTCTCTTCCCTCATGTTTCTCCCTCTTTTCTTTCTCTCCCCCTTAATTTTTCTTCCTCTTACTTCCAGAGTAATTGATATGATATGAACTCTGGCAAGTGTAATCTTCTTTTAATTAAGACCTGCTGCTGGCACTGTCCTCAGACTGATAGTAACTCACAGCTCTCTTCCTCTCATTTTTCTCCCCCCCTCTATATCATCCTATTTTTCCTCCAACTCTTGCTCCCTCTTCCTTCTGTTGTTATCTCAACACTCAACTCTTTCCTCTAACCCTGTTCCCCTTTTCTTATCGTCTATTCTGTTTTCCTCTGTCATCCTTTGTTTTTATTTCTCTGACGTCTCCGCTCCCTTGCTGATTCTTTCTTTCTTTTTCTTTTTACTGCAGTCCCAGAACCATGAGGAGGAGAAGAGAGCCCTCAGCCGGGAGATCATCGTCCTCAACAACCACCTCATGGAGGCGAAGATCACCATTAATAAACTCAGAGAGGACAATGTGAGTTCTCAGGGCTGCGTCATATTTATCACTGTTTACCCGTTAGCTTCTTTTTCCCTTCCACTGTACTGGTCACTGGTAATGCATCCCGATTATTCATTGCTGTTTGCTGCACGTTGCTGAAGCTCTTCCAGTAAAGCGCAAGCAGTCATGAAGACAACTCCCATGATCCCACGCTGCTTCACGCCATCATCCAACAAGGTCTTTTGTTATTGTTGAGATGGAGACACCAAAATTACATATTGTTTGCTTAAGCAGCAGCCTGGACCATTAAGGCTAGGGATGTTAATCCTGGAAAGCTAGCAAGAGCAGCTCACACTTTGAAAACGTGCAACCGACACATCCCACCTCCTCCCATCAGCCATTTCTTCAAAGCTACACCCTCAAAACACAGGAACGTGCACTGACTGACAACTACTGGAGGCCGAGTTTATTGCAAGAAATAAGATAAAAAACTGTTCAGAAAGAAACGACCAAACCTTTAATGGCTGCAGAAATCTGGGGCCTTGGGAAGCTGCTTTCCTTGCTTGGTTAGTAACCCGGCCCCGTCCTCACCCAAACAACACTTGGCTCTCAAGTCTGAAGTAACAACTCTTCAAAAAGTTGTTTGTCCTGATAGAAACACGTTCTCCTGCCACATTGGCAGCAGCCTGTGTGAACCAAATCTTGCCAAAAGTCTCATATCGACTGTGTTTCTGCAACATCCTGGATATTTGTGCTTCAAGGAGCCCCAGCAGATAGAGGAATTAATTCTAAGCCACTGGGTGTTTTATCGTGATTATCCTGAAATCAATGGGCATCCTCAGGGCTGCCACAAGTTGGAGCCGGGCCTGTGTGGATCTGAGCTCAGGGGCCATGAGGCAATCTGGTGCCTCAATTTCTTTTCAGTGATTTTACTGATATTTCTACTGAGGGCTCCGGGTTAGGTTAGATTCTTGTCTCGTTAGGCTACGGTGGTTCTTAGCACTTCTGAGCTACTGAGTATTTTGACAATCCCTCCAGATCCATCCAGGCTGATTGGAGTCAAGGTTCATTTTGAGTGGGTGGAGAACTTGTCCCATCAGAGCGGGCAGAAATGAGACGGCGCGTTCTCCAGAGAGCAAGCTTTGATTTTTTTTTTCTGCTTATAACATGAAGAAATCAAGTAACCTTTCATATGTGTTGAGCCTGAGATCCATGAGAAGTGAATACATCCTATCACATTACATGTAGGACATTTGTTTTACAAAAGACAATCAAAGACGACAAAGAGATTTATTCAAAAGACCAAAAGGAAACACAAACTGCCAAAAAGTTAAAACGACAAGAGAGAGATGCAAAACGACATAAAGGAAGTTATATCCTCATCTTCAGACGACAAAATAACCTGCTCGCCACAAAGCTGATGTGTTTCCCAGCAGAAACGCACACAACACAACTGACGCTAACTAAGACATCGCTGAGGACTCACAAGTCTATTTGAACCATCCACAGAAACTGCAGGGAGCAAGAATGTCCCCTGGCTACAGAGTGAAAAGAAATAAAGCGATTGAAAAAGTGGTCACTGTTAACTGGTGGGGGAGTTGAAACTGTCAAAGAGAAGGCTTTGATGTGATTGGAGGTATTGTCGGGAGGAGGCTAGCACTGACCTTTATATGTGCACGGATTGAACAAAGGAGAGAGAAGGAAAAGAAACCAGCTAAACCGGCTAACCACCCACACAAACACGTGCATGCACAGAGACACAGAAAACTACCAAAGTATCTGCCAGAAGAAATTTAACAAAAAAATCTAAAAATCATCCGTTATGGGAAGAAGGCGCGGAGAAAGAGATAAATGACGCTGCAGTAGCTTCGTAGACTGGAGGGTGGAGATAAGTGAGCGCACTGTTTCAGACGACTCTGTTAAAATTAGCACAGAGTGTGTAGACGGAAGATATATTACAAATGAAAAAGTCTGGTTATTAAGATGCAAAACCCTTGATGTCAACCGTGACGGTGTCGCCTAAGTGAAAAATACACGTTTACTAATTAATCTCGACCAGCTTCAATGGATGAATGTGTTCCGTTGATTTGACGGGCCACTAAATCTATGATTTTCTTTTTTCCAAGTTAGTTAACAATGTTTTCAGGAGAATTTGTCTTCCAAGAAACCTGTGTATTCCTTCTACATTTATAAATCTCATATAATCGTTACCCCCGTCATGCCAGGTTCCTTTTTTGTCTCCTCATGACCCATAATTCATTTATAAGAACCTCATAAATAGTAAATTGATATGATTTATTTTTAGACCTATTGTTGCTACTGCTCAATTGTAGCATTACAGTCCATGTTCCTGAAATAGTTTCCCCTACAAGTCCTACATTAGTACGCAATAATTAAACCACAATTAGAGGGGCTGTGCTATAAAGTGTTACAGATTTTTCCCAGGGGCTGCTCCGACAAAATCCCCTCGGTCAAAATCTTACTTTAACTTCTAGGTGCCAAAATAAACAAGTTTGCAAACCATGATTTTAGTGATTGATCTTTTTTCCTCTTGCAGGACCTGTACAGGAAAGACTGCAACCTGGCCGCCCAGCTGCTGCAGTGCTCCAAGTCTCACTACAGAGCACACAAGATGTCTGAGGTGAGCTCCCCTGCACTGCTGCATTAATGTGTCAGCTCAGATCTGTGCTGCAGCAACAAACCTTTGAATTGGGATTTAAAACCAAAATTCTCTGTTAAAACTTTTTGTTTTCATGTTAAACAAACTCATTCCAGAATGATTAGATTAGATCTATACTCACATCTGTGTTGAATAAAGAATAAATGGATAATAGTGTATAACAGAACATTTGTTTGATTTAAACAGATTAAAAAATCTGATGATACAATAGATTTATATTTCCAGCCCATCCAAGGTTCAGCTTCTCTGCAGAATATTATTTCTGACTGTTTGGAAAAAGGCTTTTAAAATTGTTAGGTTTGGAAATATAATTTATTAAAAATCACAGTTTTATGAAACCTATTCAAATAGTATAAAGTTTGATAGGGTGAGGCACCTATCTGAAGCTGGACTCAAGACCTCATTATTTGAAAAAAATCCTGGCTGAAGACCAGAATCGATAAAACCACATCTTCCATCACTGACCTTATGCTGCTTATAATAATGTATTATCCCTGTAATGGAGAGATGTTCCCTGCGTTGTATGGCTGTACCATTTAAAGCCTGGGCGAGTGGTTTTCACAATAAGACACAGTGCTCATGCCTCTTCAGTCAGACTGATGAAGGTCTGCTGTCTGAAGTACCATCTGTCTGCATCCTGGCTGTGCATATAATGAGAGAGCGGATGAATGGAGGCTGAACTGAAATGACACCTGATGCACAAAGGAAGAAAAGTTATGCTGTGAAACAGGGCTGATAATTGACTTGAGTATTGAATACAGACACAATCTGCATCGTTAAATTTCCAGTAGTTATCAACATGAGATAAATCAATTAGTTCAACTCGTTAGATGTACAAAGACATTATCTTTCATGTTTTTTTTATTATAATATGCATTTTTTTTACTTATATATGAAATTGAAGACTCAAAACTTTTAAATGTGGAATGATAACTGCCACTGTGATAAATCTACCATGTTTTCATGAAATACATATTGCAATGGTAACTGAAGCTGCTTTGGATATTTTCCTGATCTTCTCTGGAGCTTTTTCCTGCCAAACCCCAATAAAATGTAAACAAAATGTCCAAGTGAGCCCATGTGAGAATAGGAACATTTTCCAGAAAATTCCCAGTGGCCTTGTTGATGATGTTCCTGACACACAACGGTCGTGAAAGAGTAGAATCCTTTCAGAATGAAAAAGAGAGGCCATACTTACTTGAAGAAGATTCCGACAAAGATGTTAAGTTGGAAAGATGAGATTAGAGAACTTATAGTGATAAAAGTTGACACGATGTTCATGTAAATGTGGTGGAAACGAAAACACTTTCTGTAAACGTCATGTCCTGCCTCCTGCTGCTCTGCCCAGACACCACCCCTCGCCTGAATGTTTCCACATTTTCCTGTCGGCGTGAACATGTCTGACTCAGACTGTCTCTGGAAAATGTCCTGACACAGTTTTCTGGATATGAAAACATCTTTAATGGGGATAGGCTTAGAACTGAGGGTCTGACTTGAGAGTGTGAAATGAACTCATTTGTAAGAGGATTCCTCTTTTCTGAAGTTACATAGTTTCACTGTGTTTAAAATGAAATGTAAAATTGCCTCTAATGTGTAAAGTATTTTGAACCTTTTACATTGAACCACTGGAACGCCTAAAATAGCAAACGCCAGTTCCATTATACACCATTAACCCACTTCCTTCAATCAGACCTGTGGACACTGTCACATGGATTAACTCTGCAGAACTATGTGACTGTTAATTAAGATTTGCCTCATATAGCAGCTAATGCTGAGCTAACTGACTTGACTTGTCTCCCCCCACAGCCTCACCTACTTTCCATCTCTAGTCCCTCGAGGAGGCAGCGGCTGCTAAAAATAGCCTGGACTTAAAAGATACAGGTTATTTTATGTTGAGGCGAACTTCTATTTCTTAACAAAGCCAAGTCAGTATTTTATGTGTTTTTTTTCTTATTCCCAGCTGGAGACCCAGAGCACTGGTTTAATTTAAATCTAAGCCGTTCCCTGTGGAACTGATACGTGTTTGATGGTAAAAGAAGACGGAGGCACTGGAAAAAAGACAGGAAGAGAGAGGAAATGAGGGCTCTTTGGTTGAGAAGGCAAGAAGAGAGAGATGAAAGATAAAGAAGGGGAGGCGAGAAAAGCTCCCTCTGACCCCGACCAGCTTTAATAGGCACAAAGAGGCCGTCTGTAATTGACAGGAACAGTTTCCTCAAACGTGAGCCAATCAAACCAGATTATGTGTCTGTGTGAAGAAAGAGAGAAAGATAGCAGGAGAGGAAAAAGAGAGAGAGAGTCCTTGAAAGAGAAACAAGACAGGGAACATTTGAAAAGAGGAAATGTTTAAGTCAAGTAGAGATGTGACCGTTTTGTTGCATCATTAATCAATCTTCCTTTGTTCTGTTTTATGGAATGACAATTCTGAGATAAGTAAACAACAGAAAAAAACCATTAAAAATTTTAAATGCGATAGTGTCGGGAATAAGGCAAATAAATAAATGAACAAGTCATTTTCTGAAAGGTTTGTTACAGGGAATGAGTCTTGCATTTCCCCTGAGATACATGACCTGTCTGGACTCTGTGGGTGAAGGAAGAATTAATTATTTTCTAAACCATGACTATAGATTGAAATCCTTGAGGAACAGGTCACAGAATATGTTTGAGGAAGAGTTGATTGTAAAGATAACTAGAATGATGCTCAGAGAGCATTTACCTCCGCCAAGACCGAACATGAAACCCCCTCAAGATCCATAAAATCAATGAAAATGTTGAATCTCACAAAAAAAATCCAGATCCTCAACAAAATTTTATAAAGAAATGCAGAATAAAACTAAAACTTGATTTTTTTATCAAATCTGAAGACAGCATCCAAGATTCAACAACAAACCTCTGTGTAGATTTTCTTTGACTTCATTTCTTCATCAAGCTTCTTCTTTCTTCTGTCTTCTGTCTTCCAGCTGCCAGTTGATTTTCAGGAACGCATCAGTTCCCACATGGAGAAACATAATCGGGGCAGCGGCGCCACCATGGCAATGTGCCACACCAATTACACTGACGCCGTGCCCGCGGCTGTAATTGCCAAGGTCCTGGAGAAGCCAGAACCAGGAAGCAGTTGCCCTGTGACACGCTCGCCAAGTCCACTGCCGCCAGACGGAGTCTTTCTTACAGGATCGGGAAGCACTGATCACCTGAACCGTCGCATTTCATATAAATCCTCGGACTTGTACTGCAGCGATACTGCTCTCTACTGCCCCGAACGATGGCAGGATACGGAGCGCAGGCAGAGCGTTGACCTACATGGCACCGCGCTGCTTCAACTCCACGCCCAGAACTCCACTGACAGCAACCCGGAGGAAGAGGCGTACAACTCTGGAAGTTTCTCCCATGAACCTTCAGCCTCCTTCCACCACCATCACGAGTTTGGGACTGGTAGCCTCCCTGCTTCCAGTTCTTACTCCAGCTTCAGCCTGGCATCAGACGAGAAGGGTGGAGTGAGTGGTGGATGCGGGCGCACTGCCAGCAGCACTTTATCCTCCTCTCACCAGGGGCTCTACATGGACTGGCGAGATGGTGGCAGTGGTGACTATGAGCGCAAAAGCATGTCTTCCTATGACAAAGACAGCCCAAGTTTCCCAAAGTCCCACAGCATCCAGCACATGGCGGCCCCCAGGAGCCCGCAAAAGGGCACGTCACCAGCCTACACGAGGACGGCTTCTTGCTTCAGTGAACCATACCACTCCAGCTCCCTTCGACTGGCCTCTTCCCAGAGTATGGGATCTACAACCGGACTGGGCCCAGTTCGTGACCGAGTTATGGACAGTAGGGGTGATATCCAGGTCCCAGAGGACGACCTGAGCAGCCGTTGGAGACAGCTCAGTGTGGAAGACATCAACACCTTCTCATCTTCCTATCGTAACCTCACAGGGCGGGTCTCTCCGTACAGCTTCTCTGAGCGCCACTTTGCCATGGGCCCCTCCAGTAAGGTCAAGGGATCTCTCTACAGCAGCTTCCAAGATGGAGATGACGTCTTCCATAGCCACATGCTGGACCAGTGTTTTGCTGTGGGCCCCCCTTCGCCCAGCCGCAGTCCTAAACCGATGGAGCACCATAAGCCGGAGAAAACGTCTATGCTGTACAGAGCCAAGGACGACAGTCAGGACTCAGAGTGCAGTCTGTTCCTCTCAGGGAGCTCAAAAGACAAGGAGAGCAGCATGGGGGCCAGCAGCGCCAAGAAGGACTACGTAAATCTGAGCGCGGACAGCTCGGCCGAGTCCTTACATCACAGCTCCCTCGAGGCCTCGAGTCTTCAACACTACCCGAGCCCCCGACCCAGCGTCCGGCCTCGCCCGAGCTCCAGCTCCGCCCTCAGCGTCGGCCCCGCACTCCCAAAGAAGACCTCTCTAAGATACCAAAAATTTGGCAGCACGGGACTGACGAGGAAGGACAGTTTGACCAAGGCACAGCTGTACGGTACACTGCTGAACTGAACCCAGGAAGAGAGCTTTTCATTTTATGCATGACGATGATGATGATTCCTAACTTACTGTACTGTATGTCTCCCTGCAGCAAACATACTTGGTGTGATGGGATATTAAGATGTTGCTGTTTCATGTATCTCTTAGCCAAGGCACGTTTCATACAGCCTGCAACAATTTTTCTATTGTGTGTCACACGGTGTAGCTACCTGAGACCAGCTATTCAATGTTTTTAACTGAGGAGGATGATAAGAGCCTCTCGGATAAAGTTCACTGAGACATTCAACGCAGACCTGTGGACAATTTACTCTTATTTTGGTGTAAAGTACTGTTAGTAAAATCAGCAAAAGACCATTAACTCTTGCTCTAGTATACACAGAAAAGATAATAAATAAAGTGCATGTAATGGACGAACATTAATTACTCATGTTTGGGAGAGTTTATCTGATACATACCCTGCAAATAACCTGTTAAAAAGATTTATCCTAATTCTGTTAAAGATGCTGTACAATGCACATAGGTGAGATGAAAAAAAGTTTTTTAGCTAAATTGTTTCTCATGGGAACATTATCTGAAAGGGAAGGGTATGTTTTATGAATATTTTCTAAATTGGCTGCTTAAAAGATATTACTAATGATGGAAAATAACACATAACAAGACACAAATTATACTAGTGTTAGATTTCACAGGTTGAAAGTTCAAAAACCCTAATTTAGTTTGTTAGAATAATAGATCTGAATATATATATATATATATATATATATAAAGTCTATATATTAATTATAGTGTTGCCAGAAATGCACAATTAAAACAATGTACATTCAGTAGAAATGAAACCACATAAATTAAAGCATAATAGATCCAGATATGAGCTGCCAAGATTTTTAGCAAAACTCAGCTGTAATTTTTTTCTTATTTTTATATCAGAACAAGATGAAATGTGAGACTGAAATTTCTCAGTAGTTACAAATATACAAATAAACCAGGACACTTGTGAAATTGCCTTAATCCTGTTCAGTGGACTGACTGGTCTCCTTTACAGCATCTAACAACTGTGCACATATGGTCTTTATCTGCTGTATTGTTAATGTACGTGTACAATTACTGCTACTGTTACTACATACAGCGTACGTTCTTCCTGTCAGATAACACACACGTCCAGTTTCTTGGAGGATTGAGTCTTGTTCGTAGACTGAGGGTATTTTTCAGCGGAGATCTCATCTGGAATCTGTTTCGTTTCAGAATGACGAGGATTAATTCCCGTCTACAATTCATGCAGCCGAGTTTCTGCAGACTCCTCGTCACCGTTGGCCCTGGTAACACAAAAACTAAAGTGCTGCTTCTTGTTTTCAGCAGAAATTACTAATAGGGAAAACTCACCAGGTAGATCTGCAAAGTCTGCATAAAAAGGAGCCGAGGAAACTGAACAGGTTGTTAAAAGAAAAAACTAAACAAAGCTTATTAAAGAGAATGTACAGTTGGTGTGTTGTTGTTACACCAGCATGCTCAGTTAGGCTATTTTAGAGAAAACACTGTGAAAATAGACAAAGCGTGTGTATCTACAGTTCGTACATAGAAAGTTTGCCCTGCTACTTCACAATAACGTCACTAGTCCCAATGGAGACAAAAGTACAATATTAAAAACAATATGTCAGTGCTGCCTCTTTCAGTGTGACAGGTGTTGAAGGTTTTCTTCCCGCCTGTGTAGCTCTACAGATCTGAGAGGAACGGTGACAGGAAGGAACTCAGCTTTGCCCTCGAGTGTTCTTTCTCTGAACGCCGCCGTGCTCCTACCTCTCCCGTTCCTGCAGATCTGGAAACTGGCTCGAGGTTGTTTATTCAGATTTCAGAACTGCTACTCTTCTCATTGATCTTGTGACATATATGAAGGTGAAACTGCAACACACAGGCCACTAACAGTCTCAGATAATATTTGGTTCACTGTAAAGGTTTGAATTGAATCACTGTACAGATAAGGGGGGTGAGGTGAGGATATATGGTATTTTTGTCGTGGACATAATGTATAAAAAGAGATGTAGATACTGCATACACAGTTATTACACTATGACTATTTTTATGCAGTTTTCAGTTGATGTTCTATTTATCGAATGTTTTGACCCTGAATGATGAGGCTGAAGTGTTTTTCTGTCCTGTCCTACCTCCAGCTCTGTTGCATGACAACAGGCCAGCTGTCCAAATGTCAACATGTGTGTCTGTCTCATGCATGGTTATATATTTTTTCTGTATGTTTATTTACTTAATAAAGACGGGTGTTGGGAAATACAGTGCACAGCTCCAAATATTATTTTATTTGTGTAATGTGATTTCAGGGTTCTAGTATTTACAGACCTAAAACCTTAACAATTTCTTTACTTTTTAAATAGATTTTATTTATCTACAACTCTTGAAATACTGATTATTACAAGAGTAACATAAAATGATTTCTGGACTTTATTTATTTATTTATAATAATCCAAAAACCTTGAAAGTCAGAAATCTAATAAAAAAATGTTTGCATGATTGAATCTAAGTTTTGAAGCAGTGCATAATGTTCAATAGGCTGAAAAACAATCTTAACTCTTAAAACATGATTTTGTGATTGAGTTTTCTTCTTTTTACACATTTTCAAAAATTCTAATTTTTACCAGTTTGAAACCTTGAAAACTCTCGATCTGAAAAAACTGGTTAGTACGTTAGAGGAAACTCGTTCTAAAGCGTTGAAACTTGAGTTTTGAAGGACAAATCAATATTTTGAATCTCTGTGGATGTTCGCCTGCTCTCCTGCAGTCTGAGTTTACACCCACTCAGAGATTTTTTGAAATTTTTACCATTTTCCAAGGAAATAATTCATGGATCTTGATACAAAAAGTCAGGCACATTCAGGCCACTGATATCTAAGAGTGTCGTTTGGTGCAGCTTGATTGAATTTAAGGAACTACTCGGCCTTGGCAGAGGTTTCAAGGCCTTTTTTTATTCTCTCCTGATATGTCTGATAAAAACATTTAACAAGGATCTTCTACTACATTTGCAAAGCAACTAAAACGCAGTAACTACTACATAAAAACTGCAGTTTCACAGTGGGAAATTTGCTAAGTCGTCCTTTACAGTGTTAATTTAACTCTTATTGACTAATAACAACTGCAGGGGCTGGGAAAGGGAAAAAAGTATTGAGCCATTAGAAGTTGCCTTTCCGCTTAACAGCTGTGTGTATTTTAAGGCCTATTCCACTTGACAGTGAAAAAAGATCATGAGCTTCTGTCTGCACAGCTCTGTTGTCGACTGGCAGGATTGTGGAAGAACCTGGCAGAGCTTTGACAGACATCAGCTTATTTTTTTTGCCTAAAGTTTTAAGATCTGTGGTGGTTCTCAGTGATTCTCTGAGCTGTCAGAGCGAAAGGAAGAAATCGTACCATGGCCGGGGAGAACAAACAGAGGAAGAGGGATTTGTACACAGAATGCACAATGAAAAACACTTGTGATTAGAAAATGCCCAAAGACATGTTTTTCTTTTTGTTTTGACAAAAACTAGATGAACATAATAACGATGATGATGTCCCCTGGCTGTGTTTGGAGTGGAAAGCTGAGAATAAAAGCACTGACTTTGTGTGTGTGTGTGTGTGTGTGTGTGTGTGTGTGTGGCGAGACGGTTTTGCCATCGCCTACCACTTTAGATAAAACTCTAATAGTTCACTCTTTGAACTGTAAAGAAACTTCCTTTGATCTAATGCAGAGCGACTCTTCATGATTTCAGGATATTAAAACAATACAAGTTGGAACAAATATAATAAAAACATGTAAACACAATAGTTTCATTTCATATCAATGGGAATGAGAGTGTGGGAGGTTTTAAAATACACAGTGTTAAAAAACTGTTTTCCAAAGGGAGTGGATAAGGTTCTTATCATCTTATACCAGGGGATTAAGGAGGATAAAGTCTCGAGGATGGATGTGCACATGAGTTTAATACAATCTTCATCTTGGCTAACCTGCTCCGTCTTAATTTTTTTTCTCCCCGCTTCATATTCTTGTGTCGTCAGTGCCAGATCTTGATCTCGCCGGCCCAGTCGCAGGTGGCAGCAGTTGCGGGCAGGACGGGATGCTGCGACACAGACAGACAGGGCTGGCTGTGTGCGTGGAGAGTGTGCAGCGCCCGGGCGTTGTGGTAGTCGTAGAAGTGAGCGGAGCCGGTGGCGCTCCCCGAGGCAAGGATGGTTCCATCCTGAGAAAACTCACACTGCACCGCATATCCCTCCACCTAGGGAACAAAAATATACACTATTTAGTTATAATTTATTAATACAAAATTGAATAAAATGTCAGCAGAATGGATTATAGCAGACATGTTGGAGAAATGAAGTGCATGTGATCAGACGTTTGTCAGTTCAATGCTTGATACTCTAGAATAAAAAGAGATTCACTTCCACATCCCTAATTATCACCTCTGGTGTGCCCTTGAGCAAGGTTCTTAAACCCCAACTACTTCAGTGGGTTGTGACAAGACTGTACACTTCAGATTCCCGGTGTGAATGTACTGGGAGCACGGTGTTCCTGGCATAAAGCACATGTGCTTAGTGAGTATTTCAAACACAAGTGGAACTACGCAGCAGTTTAATGGAGCGGAGGAGTGAGATGGTGTCGTTTTCTCTTCAGTGAAGCAGCAGCGAAGTAAAAACAGTCTGAAGAGGAAATTTGATCATGAGAAGATTTTTTGAAGATATCAACTTTATTTGTTGAACTCAATCAGCTGAAGCCGAAGATATTTGTTCTTGATCTGTGTCGCTGTATATAAAGAAAGAAATGATGCATGTACAGAAGAGAAATATTACATGGAACTCTTTCATGAACCTATTTTATGTTTTCAGTTTTATTTTGTGGCAAATAAAAGAAAGAACAGGGGATTCAGTGCAAGATATTATTTTTGTTTACTGTTCATTTCTGGAATTTTCTAGAATCAACAATCTGGACTCCAGTGATGTTTATAATCTACAGATATATTCTGTTAAAATACTGGGTTTCTTTTGGGGTGAGGAGACTGAAAAGAAAACTCTGCAGACTGTGGATCTACATGAGCTGCAGATTACGATGAGTGTTTCTGTGCGTATACGTTGTTCTGCCTCTACTGTTTTGTGCTAAAGTTGTGTGTTTACATCCGATGGTGTTTTATTGATCAAGCCCCCACATGAATCCTCATCCCAGAGGCAACAGTCGTTACTGACCTTGTGTCCTTCGTATCGTCGCCTCTTGTTCATTCTATAGGGCTGCTGGGAGGAGAATGCCGCCATGTAGTTCCCATTGGTCTGGGCCACAAAGGAGTCCTCCAGCGGATGGAGAGCCAGGCTGGGGCACGTGTATCGCTCCTGATGGCAAAATGAGAGGAAGGGAAAAATCCAATGGGTGATTTTATTCATTGTTTGACCTTTTCTCGCTAATACAAATCATCGAGTCAGTCACATGTTAACTAGTCTATTAATCTGCGGAAGCCTTACGCTCTGAGGCACAGTGGACGAAACACTATCATGTAATTCAGTGAGGACACTGTTCTAATAGATTGAATTATATTGTGTTGCATGAATTTTCTGTTACTTCATGTGTCGACCTTCTTTATTTACAGTCTTTGATTCAGACTAGTTTGAAGAATTTAAGGTCGACTCAGACTTCATCTAACATACAATAAAATCTTAGTTCAGCTGCAGAAACACTGATTTAGAAATGTGAATTTATTCAACACGAATAGCAGAAAGGTTATTAAAAACATATTTAAAACAGGAGGCAGTTACTTCCTTCAACACTGTTGTAACTGTCAAAGTCTGCCAGCTCCTCATGCCTCATTACCAACACCAGGAGGTTCACACATTTTCAGGAATCTAGCTTAGAAGGAAAATGTGATTTGCTTGTTAAAATTCAAACAGTTTCTTAAAGGTACAGTGTGTAGAATTTTGAGATATCTAGTGTTGAAGTTGCATGTTGCAGCTGAACACCCCTCACCTCACCCTCTCCTTCCAAACATGAAAAAGAACCTGTGGTAGCCTTTAATTGTCATAAAAACTCAAAAGGTGTTTAGTTTGTCCAGGACTAATGTAAAAAACATGGCGGTCTCCGTAGAGAGGGTCCCCTCAATGTAAATATAAAGTATTTCAATATAAAGGGCCTTTTCTGGGGTAAAGAAAACCACAATTCATACAATTTAGATGAAACGAACCAGTGAAAACATCATGAGGATTATTTTACATTAAATATCTGCAAATAATTCCCTTTCACCTAAATCTTACACACTGGACCTTTAAGTTTTTAAGCAGACCATTTTAATGTATTGTGCAAATCAGCACTGAATGTTTTCTTTCTCATTCACAGAGAGATTTCTCTTACATGGTAGATCTGATTGGAGAGCTTGGCTGCTGTCTGGTAGTCCCAGGCGATGAGGGTTCGGTCCGCAGAGTCTCTGCTCACACAGTCAGAAGTCGTTATGAAGTCCTGACCGCCTCTGAGAAACAGGATGTCCAATGTCTGCTGGATCCCTGCTTTGTACATTTTAACTATCTGGAAACACACACACACAAAACACACAAGAAATTAGCATTATCAATCAACAATGCAGTAGGAAGGGTTAAAAAGTTATTGTACCACTCTCAGTATATTTAGTCTAATTTAACAGAACATGTGCTGACAGTATTTTCTTAGTTTGAATGATGTCCATGACTCTCAGCTCAGAAAAAGCAGTTAACAGAAAGAAGAGAAACTTCTGGACCAAACTAGAACCAAGTGTTTGTACTTCTTGCTTTGAAAGACTCACAATCACTTGACCTGATGTCACTTAAAAAATCAGTACAGTACATTAGTAGAACTAATGGTCTATCAGATGAGGTGAGTTGCTGCTGTACAGGTAATTAGTTACAAATATCACTTAGGACTTTTGTTGATTACAGATAAAAAACAGTAAGTTGTTCACAGACCTGTGATTCGCTGCCAGTGTCTTAGATTTTTTTCAGCAATTAATTCATATATAAGAAAGTCTTGTCTTGAGCATCTTAAAATGAACAACAAAAGCTTAAAGAGACTTAAAACCAATAAAGCAGCAGGAGAAACAATGTATGGTTCAACTGTAGTAAATGAGAGAAGACATCGAGGGAGAGTCGGTGGTGATGTAGAGAATGGTTTATTTACACCCGTCATTGCTCAGCCAGTCTTATCAGATCAGATTAACTCAGGGTGCTTGATCGGATTAGGTTTAATTTCAGAGCTGCAGAGCGAGTGGCAAGAAACTACATGGTACATTACACCATGATGACTCTTCAGCCCAAACTGTCTGCAGCTGCTCTAGTTCTGCTGTGTAACCTGAACTTAATAATCTTTGCTCTTTACAAAGAACTTCAACATGAACATCATGCATCCAGTTCATGAGGCTTTTTAGACAGACTGTTTAACGTTGTGTCTGTGAGTGAGCTGGTCAAGTTCTGTTTTGGGGACAGGGGTGAAAACATAACCTGTGCATGGTGCCAAAACATTTCTCTTAAAGAGAAAAAATATTTTCACAGCACGACAGAGGTAGCGTTAAATGAATTGACCTAATTTAGACCTAATATTTTAACATATACAAGATTTAAGGCCTAAAATTCAGATGACTGCATGTAACTTTTTAAGACCCCATGGAAAAGACCCTGCAGGGAATAATTCATGAAATGTGTGTATTTTCCACTGCTTGATTGAATTTAAGGCCCTCGGAGGAGATATGTGCACTTACTGAACAACATTCTAGATTATCTAGTGGGGGTAATCACACACACACACACACACACACACACACAGGGCTAAGACCTCTTTATATACAGTCTATGGCTAAGACTGACAGGCAGCTCAGACTCTCCAGCATTAACAGCCTTGCTGAGCACAGGTCTGTGTGCACACTGCAATTCACACATACACAAACAGGCAGAGGCATTCCCTGCTGTATTAAACATAAAACCCTGCTGGGAGACGATTCAGTTTGCCACAGAGTAGAAATTACATGTGAGCCTTCAGATTCTGAGGAAGTAAATAGGATTAACATATAAAACAGTCCATTAGACTTAATAGCAATATTATGCTGCAGCTTCATAGGAACAATTTGAGAAATTTGCTTTGAATAATTAGTGCGATAACCTGCAGTGTTCCTCCTCTGTATGCAGCAGTATGATCCTCAAAGTGAAATATAGCACAGTTCATTGCACAGGGTCAAACGTGGACTACCTTGTTTGTACTGGTGTGTAACTGTCAGTGTGTGCAGGAGGGAGTTGTGAATGAGGAGCTTGTGTTAAAATATACAGCTCACATTTATAAAAGGTCAAACAACATTCGGTGAACCAGAGTCAATAAGAATGAAAAACTGATAGCAGGTTAATAAGTTTGACCTTGCAGCTGCGAGAGTCCCAGGCCTTGACCACTGAACTGTGACCTCCGCACAGGAACACATCTGGGCTGCTGGGATGCAGGACCGCACACATCACCTTGAACTGGTTGTCAAATTTCACTTTCTGCTGCCCTGCACACATAGAAACAAGACGGGAGAATAAGATCGATGCTTCTTTGAAAGAATAAATCTTTCATCAGCACTGAACTTTTAGATGATGTACGACTAACTGAAGTATGGTTGGAATAAGACATACATCTTGTGATAACAGCGAAAATTCTTATGATTAAGAGTCGCTTACTAATTTAAACTCTGATAAACAATACAGCGGATTCAGAAAATAGTCAGATCCTTTTCAATTTTCCTGAAACAGGAAAAAGAAAGATCAACTGAAAGCAGAAAGTTTACCACCGTACCGTTAATATTTATAACTCAGGAACACATCCTTCACTTGAGATTTAAAAAATCCAATGGACAGTATTAAATGAAATAATACTGTCTCCACTGTGTGATTATTTAGCTCCTGTGGGCACACATTTTGGATTTAATGTGTATCCAACCAGTCGAGGGTTATATATAAAACATATGAGACACCTTGTAAGTGAGTGTGTCTGTGAAGTGATTTCACCTGAGTGTGTTGCCTACTAAGCTAAGGAACAAATCTTTAGCTCAACTCTGACCCCTGGCTCTCCAGACTGAACTGTACACAACATATGTTTCAACTACATTTCCTCTGCGACACATTCTTTTGAAACTTCTCTTTGTTTAGTTAACTGAGCTCGGTGTGAGGATACACACCGATACACTGCCTTTGCTGATAAAGAGAACGATTCAAAAACAAACTCACTAATAAAAAAAGATACAGTAAATCTGCTGCTGAAGATAGTGTTCTCAACTCAGAGCGATGCTTGAAATTCATGAAGGAATGAAATGAAACAAGGAGACGCCTTCTCTGATCATATCAGGTCAGAGGAAGGATCCGCTTGTTTAAAGGCTTCAGTTTCTGATCAAACATGTTCCTGTCACAAGAAGGAACTTTAGATGATTTCACACAAACCTGTGGAGAGTTTCTTGTGATAAAACACATCTTTTACTCTTTATCATTCGATGTCCGAGGTCTGTTCAGCAGCTGAACTGTGAGCCTAACTCTCTGATGATGGGAGGTAATAGGACTGACCGAGAGGACTGCATGGCTGTTGGTACTTAGTGTGCAGGTTGCATTATATGTGCCAGCGCCTGTCTGTGTTTTCCAGACAGAAGCACTTCATAGACGTCAGCGTCTGAAAAGCTGCTTGACTTTAACACTCAAGACAAAAAGATAATCTAAACTGACACAGTGACGTCGATAACTTAAACACAAAAACAATAAAATATCAAGCCTCAGTTACTTTTCTCTGTCTGTATTTGAAAATGACTTTTTTCGTTTTATGTATCTGTCCCAAAAAATCCACATCGGTTGGGATGTAACGATTGCACCTTTATATACAGTTTATTTTATTTTGCACACACACAATAACCTTTTAAACAAAGTACAATCAACCTACCCATCTTTTCCTTGATTATCTGAGCTTGTATAGTTTTATAATATATGTGGTTAATTAGCATTAAAACCAAAAAGTGTAAGCGACAAGAATCCTTTTTTTAGGAGTTGTGGGTGACAGCATCACTTCATGGACATCAGCGTCTGAAAAGCAACTTGATTCAAACTCAACTAAGATAATCTAAACTGACACAGCGACGTCGAAAAGAAGAAAACACTGTTTTGGCTACAGGCGGCTTTATCTAAATCAATTAAAGGATGGCACACTTAAAAACAAAACAAAAACAGTAAGGGGATTAAGTATAATTAGGGCTGACAGGGTGCGACCAAAAAAGTGTTTTGTGGGAAACCACAAAGACAGCTACACGAGGAATCAGACGACGAGCCGGCAACTCTGTCGAAGGCTATGCAAAGCAGCACCCCTCAGGGCTCAACGGCTCCTCATTAATTCTCTGACGAAACAACCTCCAAAACAGGCTGAGGCCGCAACTGAAACGCTCTTTATTACACACGTGTTCCAGGATTTTCCAACAAAGTCTGGTTAAAAGGATGAAACCTAATGCAGGAGCAGCTCGCTCCCAGATTCAACTGCATTGATTCCAAGTTATTATGTGTAATTTCATCAGACTCATGCATCCCGCTTAATTGGCTTACCCCTAGCAATGACGGGGAAGATCTGTCATCAAGGGTTTAAACTCATGTTTGGCAAGATGACGAGGAACCAACAGTCCCCTCATAATAACTGGGGCCTAGTCGTGTTTTAATTAAGTAAGATTAATTAGTTGGCTTGAGAGGGGTGATAAGGGAAGACTGCAGTGATCTGTCCCTCCCTCGCTGTGGTCGACTTTGTAGTTGTGAAAGAGCTGTGATCGCACTGCAGAGCTGACACACAGCGGAGGAGGACAGAGACGAGGACATTAAGGGTGATTGGGACAGCAGGGATGAGCGTCTCAGAGCAGAGGGAAGCAGATGAAATGATATTCTGCCTCATTACCAGATCCCCCAACACACTGTGCTGTTGCAGTACAAGAGGAAAGGTTAGGAGCACATAACTTGGTATTTTTGAAAAGCAATTTGTATTTGTGTTTCACAATAAGTATGTGCAGAGTCATGGTAAACAAGAGGGTAAGAAATATTTTTTATGTGTTTGCATTCGAGAATGTTACAGAAGGTTTTATAAACCAAGGAAACTCCACAAATTTTGGCAACAGTGAGTTTTTTTATGGCTAATGATCACGACCATAGACTGTAGGTAAAGATGGACGATGCGGTTGCTCATCAAAAGTGAAGCCAAAGCATCTCAATCAGATGGAAGCATCTCTTTCTGATTATTTGAGCTTGAATAGTTTTCAAGTTTCATGAGCTTAATTAGAATCCATTCAAAACAAGCAAACAAAGTCTAAAAGTGTAAACAAGAGGAATCGTCACTCTTTTTTTCCCAGAGTTGTGGGTGACAGACGTGACTACTGACAGACTTATGTGCTGAATATAAAAAAGTCCTGGAGGCAGTAGAGAAACAGGACAGTTGAGAGGTAAAATGACATTAAAAAAATTGTATAAAGCTAAAAAATCACTGCATTCATAAACCTCTGAGAACCTCTTCTATTTCATGTTGGCTGCTTCTTAGATCACGTTTACTCTGTTGTCGATGATTGGCACTGATAGAAGTTATAAATGAACCCATCATCTTTTTGAAACAAGGGTCTGTTTCTATTTTCTGTCACATAACAGGGTAAAGGCTGTTTCAATCGAGCAGGTAACCATTGCAAAATGAAGCTTTCAAACTAGGTCACAATGCAGATCTGCTTTGCCGGTGGCATTTGGAGTAAAAGCTCCTGTGTGTGAGCTGCTGCTGCTGCTGCTGCTGCATCGTCTCCGGGCGAGCTACGCTTAATTCTCCTGAGTTCATACAGCCAGAAGGTGGGGATAAGGCAAAATGAAAAATGTGTTTGAAAATGCATTCATTGTGCACACTGTATTGTTTCAGTGTTTATGAAAAGTATTGTTCAAACTTTATTGGCTGTGGAAAACAGTGGCTGCAAAAACTGAGTCAAGCTATTGACTCATTCTTTTAAATACAGGCGGCAGGTTTTGCAAACAAAAATATCCAAAGATTGATGTTTTCCTGTTAACCTGATAAAATATTACACAATAAATGACTCACCTTATGTGCACACTTGAGAGAATTATATTGTACTAATATCTTAGTTAAGTTTGTGCATGTTAAAATCACTTTATTGTAGCAATCTATAAATCTAATCGCTGCCTGTCCATATGTGGAATGCATATCTTAAGAACTGTTCCTTGTATCGACGTCACACTTGGAATGTGTATCGTTAAGGACCGGAGGAAGTCAAATGTTGAATTTAGTGGAATCTGGACACGTTGTTTGTTCAATAAACTTTAAAAGGATGACTAACAAGCACTGCAGTAGTAAAATACATAAAACTATGATGTATAAAATACTTTTTTACAGTGTTGCATCTGATGTAACTGCAGCAAAACCCTTACCCATTTATTAAACAAGAGGCCTATAACAAAAATACAGTGCAAAAACTAACTGAATATAAGTTTTACTGTGTAAAGGAATAAGGAACTCGTGGGTTGCACAGCCGGCTCAAACATATGTTTTAAACAAATCTTTTTCTGTGAAATGACCCCAGACTCAGCACCACACTGTGATTTATTGTTTTGCCCTTGTACAGCTGCCACGTGTAGCTCGTGGCTCATCTTTCAAAGTAATGCAGTGCAAGCTCCACCTCAGAACCTAACTATTGTTAAAGCCTTTAGCAACATTCATCAAATATGATTCAGCAGAGGCAAAGTGAGGTGAGGGCTAATGCCCACTCCAGCACTGCCACCATCTTTGTGTATTATTGTTTGTTTGGTTTTTTCTGAAAAAGCAAGGACAGTCTTCTATCTGCCAGCGCCTGGAGGGATCTGGACAGATGACTCGAGTCCTGCATACACATGCATGATCTGACACGCCAAACTGTGGGAGCCCGTGGGGGTATATGGGAATATTTTCCTATGCCAACCTCCACCAATCAGCTTTCCCAAGGACAGCAGGGAAAGCATTGGACAACAGCTGCCACTTCACACTAATGCCCTACAGATGAAATTCATTTATTCCACTCCCCAACTCCTACTCTCTGCGTCTCTCATTCTCTGGATTTATTCTGCCCCTTTTCATTTCTTCCTCCAGCATTCTTGCTCTCCTCTTCCATTCTCTCTTTCTCTGCATTATGCCTTTTAACCTGCACTCCCTCCATATATCTTCCTCTCCCGCTACAATTGCTATTCAGCTGTGGCCCACGAGCAGTGGAAATAAGACTCTACAAACTAAAGCAGACACAGGGATAACTGCAGAGATGCCCACACACTATTCTGAATGCAATAGGTCTCAAATAATTGCAATTGTGTGTAAACATATAGAGCGCTGCAGCATTTAGTTGGGTGCACTGGTGAAATAGGGGGTCAGGTGTCCTACAAGACTCCTGCTGATCATTAAAGGGCCTGCTGCCTCTAGTGAACAAGCTGTGTTCTTTGTTAGAGCTGAGAGACTCTACATTACTGTGAAGAGTGTAAAGATCACATTAACTCTGATTACACTCCGACATGGCAAACACTCAGCCCTCTCAGTGTCCCATCAAGCTTAGTAGAGAGAGTGATAGCACACCTGCTGCATCAATGTCGGGAGCTTCATCAAATTTTTAAATATCCATGATTATGCCAACACCTGAGTAGCCCGATCGTTTTTGTCAGGAATGTAAATCCTCTAAAAAGAAGAGATTCGCAGCTTTACCATGTTGTGATGAGGACCAGAGTTAGGCTGTATTTAAATTATTATGAGACAAATTATGCATCTAGCCTGGCCTCTGTGTTCTTTATACTCATCAAGTTTGATTGGTTTGTGTCAAAACATGACCTCCTCGGCAGAGTGAGGGAACAGGAGTATGAATAATAAAACGTCATTAAAATAAAGGACTGTGATTTACATGTGAGGGCTTTACTTTGTGACTTTACTTCAAAGCTGTAAGTCTGAACCTACTTGGACGTCCTACTGTGCTGAGCAAAGCACTGGCAGCTACCAAAGTGTAAAGTACCTAAAATAAACACTTGTTTGTTTATGGTTGTAGTAGGTGACGTTGCAGTATAAGGTCATAGTGGCTGCTCCTGTGGTGATGTATCCATTATTGATCTCCTTCCTGGAGCTGCCTGTGTGTTTAATGGGCTGGCCAAGCTATTATCCGTAGGCTTTATTGGCAGTATTGACAGACATGCTGAGAGGGGAAGTGCAAACGGCAGCAAGTCATCACAGCATCGTGTTGACCCTGGAGATGTAGATGCCACAGGGCTTCAAAACAAGGTCTGTTGTGTGCTGTTGGGCTCATTTTGTCGAGCTTCTCTGCGGTGGTTTTGAACTAACTGTCACCGTCACATGATGCACAAATACGAGGCTGTAAATTATTCCTTCAATCTGATCAATTTTGCAAATAATTCTTACACATATTTTGAATTCAGGTGTCTAGAATTCATTCTAGTTACTGAACAAGAATGTCTACGTGTTGTTGACTGTCGGTATGAAATGCTTCCATCCTAGCTTTGCATAATATAAGCTTTACCTTGAAAAAGCTTGGTATGATCACGCAGAAGCAAGAGCAAACATAATGAGCCTGTGGATTTGACTCCAAGTGGAGGTTGTGTGGACAAAAATGTCACAAAATAAATGTTTTCAGAAAGTTAAGTGTGGAGAAAGAGAGAGATGTGGCCCATTTAGCGTCCGTCTCCACTGAGGCACGTTGCTTCCATCCAACCTAATTTAGAGGCTTCTCCCTACATGAGACGGATGATTCCCTACAGTGTCACTGGATTTTTTTTTCAGGTCTTCACAGCACACAATGAAATGAAGAAATGAAAATACAATTGCAAGGTGTAAATATATATGCTCATCCAATCTTATCTTATCTTAAATATAGCAAATAACAATAATAAATGCCAATATTTGATGAGTATTTGATAATAAAATAAAATAATATTATTCTGTTAATGCTTAAACAGAATAATGTTAAACCGTTAAGATGCATTGTGATAAAGTACTGGCAAACATTACTATAGCTGCAAATGTTTAAAAGTGGCTGGGCTCAACAAGAATGGTGGCTTCATTTTCATTTAGAGGAAAGTATTTGTCATTTCTTGGCTGAGTCTTTGTGATGTATTCTCTTAAGAAATGTGGATTTAGAAAGTGGTGATGGATGAAATGGGTCATGGCTACAGAGAGAGAGAGCTTTGCAATTTATACAATAGGTTTAAACAGGTTTTGTGACCCAAGGCAATTTAAAGACAATCCACACATTAATTACTAAACTAACTTTAAATTTGCAGGAAGTCAAGTTTCCAAGGAGCTCTGCTTTCCCACAACAACAGCAATCTGCTCGGAGACTGTTTGTTCAAGCTGAGTTTAAATTTAATAAATGTAAATCGTTCATTATTTGAAGAATAAAGGCACATCACAGCTGTTCTGGTGAGAAGCAGAGGACTGTGGACACATGCGTTGTTGTATCTGAGTTCAGTTTAGGACAAAGTCACAATGACACACTTCAAAAAGTAAATCTAGTGCTTTGCTTCATTGTGTTCTCGAAACCTGCAGAAAGAAGAGTGATGCCGCTCACCCGTCTCCACGTCTGTGATCACAGTCGTGTTGTCAAATGACCCAGTGAGGAGGTGTCGCCCGCAGGGGGTCCAGCAGGCATCACGCACGGCTCCCGAATGGCAGGTGTAAACCCTGAGGCACCGTCCGCTCTCTGCTCCGTCCCACACCTGCCGGGCACAGACACATCGCATCGAGCCAGAGTCACAAACACAAATCGACAGCAGCAACAAAGTCATTTTTTTTCACTGACGGTGCACAAGCTGGAGTAGATTTTATTGTTCTGCTCCCACTGCATGGAGTCACAGCGTGTGCTTCAATGAAGAGAACTGGCGCTGCTAAACAATCCAATAATTCAAAGGATTATTTAAGTAATTTGTTCTAAGTCTTTGTAAGATACTTTTTACCAAGCACTGTCGTGTGAGAGGAAAGGTGCTTTCTGAAACAATGACACTGACCCTTGTTTCCTTTACAGCAAACCTGATGTTTGCAGTCTGACATAGAAGCAGTGGAAAAGAGCAGAAAAGTCAGACATGCTGTACTTTCCTCCTCAAAAAACAAGTGGAAAGGACTGTTGTGCCCTGGACGATTTTTCAAGGCAGTTTACACGCGGAGGTCAGACTTGGCCACTGCTCTCGCCTCTGAACAGAGACAAAATTGATGAATAAATCAAAATTTTCTACCGAGCTGTCACAAATGATGCAGGTAATGTGCACTCCAGCTCTGAAACTCTTTCCTGTGTGAACAAGAACTAGTGAATAGAGGCTGTCTGGTTTTCCATATGAGCCTTCCTCTCCTAAAGTCTACTGTTATTAAAGAAAATGAAAATACTGAGCAAAAGTGCTGCTGGATAAAATGACAGAATTGATAATGACTGTGATTACCCATGTTTACAGGGGCATTGCTTTTGACCAACCCAACGCACCATAGTTTTTCAGATTCTTAGCATTATCTAAATTTTATTATGTAGATTCTCAAGCTGCTGGATTATCCTATTTGATGTATTGTAAGGTATCTAATAAAAAGGATTTAAAAGCAAAAGAAAACTTTGTAATTAAGTATTTTGACTAATTTCATTTGAATATCCCCTTAAATCCATTTCGTGTGAGTGCTATGGCTTTAATGGTTTTACATACAAAGAGCAGAAGAGATCAATAACTCAATGTAATGCTGGTTGAAAGTGTGATATCATGGAGCCAATAAAGTGCAATAAGAAAAAAAGACCTTATTCAGCCACATTGATAGTTACTATAGTTACCTGCACCATAGAGGTTATTTTTTCACCACTGTCCACTTGTTTGTTAGTTACAAAATAAAATCAACTCAACCAATTTCGATTTTGACAGGGTTTTTTCCAAAATGTTTCAAAAACAATCATTTGGCAAACAAGCTGGTCAATATTGTGACATTTTTTCATTGAAGCCGTGTTGATATAGATGAAAGATTTTCTGTCAAGGCAGGTTAAAGCACAAAAGAGTCTCCCTGAAGCCTGGCCTGAAATTCAGTGGGTGGTCTGGTGCCCACTGTGGTGAGATGTGAGATTTTACACTAATGATGATTTTTTGCATCACAGAGGAACTTTGAAGATTTTTGCAACAGCTCCCTCTCTGCCTTTTTCTGTTTCATTATTAAAGATGACTCCTCCATACAGCATATGAAATACACAGAGCAGTGCTGTGGCTCCCACTGGAGTCTGACAGGGAAGAGAGATAGATGGAGGGGACAGTGACATATCAATCCAGCAGGCAGCGGTTTAACAAACAGAATGCCAGAGATGCCTCCAGGGTGAAAAAAAGAAGTAACAGAGACGAGAGTATAAACTTTTGCTATCTAAAAAGATAAATATCCATTAAAACTATTTCCATTCACTGTGGAACAAAAATTGAATCTCCATTGTGTGATCTTGGGGAAACGCTGCCACCTCAAGGTAATTTAAAAATCTGTTCAACAGCAACTGATGCTCAGATCTATTGTCACAAAACAAAACATTAAACTTTACACAGACTTGGTTGTTTTGACTACACAGTCTCCAGGCAGCTGTGAATGACGACATAAACGATATACACCCTTAACAACACTATTCAATGCACACACAATTGCAATAATTTCGTACAATGTGAGACCTGTGCATGGGTGTGAACGAGCGCTTGTTGATTTGCATCCCCTTTAATTTCACCGGCCACTTAACAGACACGCCGAGCGGATCCCCGGCGATGACTCATTGGGGTAATCTGCTTTCTCTTGCTTGCTTACTCTCTGTAATTAAAACTAAATTGGTATTTGTGTTATCAACCTAAAACCGCTGCCTTACACCTGCCGTAGCCATGGTAACATGAGGCTGCAAACAGGCTGGAATGATAATAGTCTGCCTCTGCCTCTGAGGGACTGACAGACAGGATGGAAGAAGAGGACTCTGAAGCCTGAAGGATGTCTGTGAAGAAGCACATGGGCGAGTGTGTAAAGATTTCATTGTGTGTGTGCCCCCCGCTCCTCTGAAAAGCTTGTGTGCTGAAATACATAATTAAAATCACTATGAAGAGATAGTAAAAGAATAATGTATGACAAGCTGTAATGAAGCAAGAAAACAATGTCACCGGAATTTCCCCTCATCAATTTATGTAAATAAATAATCATTAGCTGCACCCCTAAGATACTCTGGGTTGTGAGAAAATGTTAAGGACATTTTTATGGACGTTATTTGCTGCCTCACCAATAGGTTAATAAATGAATCTACAAATGATCAATAATACTGCTAATTGTTAGTTACACATATATATACATATAGTATAATATAGTAAAGTAAAGTATAGTATAGTGCATGGTTAGGTCCTATTAATAGTTTACTGGTTTCAACCATTGACTGTATATAAAGTTGGATGAGACGACTGCTCCAAAAAAGTGAAACCATAATGAATTGATTGCCCCCAGATGGCTGACAGCAGTACATGTCATTGGCCTGCCTCCTCCATGTTAGTGGATGGGACATTGACAAAACCAAAAAGTAAAAATACATGTGAAATAAAATGTTCTTAAGGACGGTTTCTGTCATTTATGTATGTCCAATTGTTCATTTTCTGGTCAATTTGGCTTTAATAAGTTATGTAATGCTATTAAAACAGGCTGAAACTTGATTGGTCGAGAATATGAATCAGCAGGCTCCACCCTCCCGCTGTTCAGACTCAAACAAAATGTGGAAAATGTCAGCGTCCAGGATACTTTGCCTTTATTTCTGAATAGTGGGAAAAAGTGAAAACGTGTTGTCCATCTTTATATACAGTCTATGGTTAACACAGTGAGAAGCTACAACACTGTTGCTATGGTAACCTGCACTTTCTTGTACTGTGTTTTCTGAGCTAAATGTGTTTTTTTTTTTTTAAATCATTTTAGATCAAACATGTCAGATCTGAATCACATGGTGCTTTCATAACTGACACTTCACAGTCGGAGTGCATGGCACAGAGAAGTAAGAGCATATCACATGCACCTCTGTCCCCTGGTTTCACAGAGCACAGGTTCAGACAGAGAAGAAGACAAATCCCTGCATGCAAACAGTCTTTTCTCTCCCTCCCCTCTCTATGGGTCTCCACCATCTGCTCCAAACAGCCCTTTCCAGGTGGGAAAGAGGTGGCTGCCATGCTGCTGCTGCACTTGTATAGTTATGCAAATGACCTGATGAATATTTAAATTGTTAATTATTCAGATCCATCTCGGGATATGGGAGGGCTGGGAGATTTCGTACAGGGGGAGAAATATCTTGTCACAGGCAGACACCTGCACTGCTTGACCTTTACAGTTGGGAAATGAGGGATTACTTTTTCTGGTGTGAAATACAAAAAAGGGAAACAGGAAGTCCCACAGGTCTTGGCATACATTCAACTGACAATGACAGATATGATTCTAAAGAAAGTGGTTTATGGTGCACTTATAAATGGAGGCAGCAGGGCAGATATTATCCCCCTGCTTGTAACACCATGCCAATTAAAGTCAGGTAAAGTGATTATCCCCTCAGACCTCCCCGATGCACTTGGCACCTGCCTGGAACTGTGTTGATAGATGGATTTTCGTGCTCCAGACCACCACGCTCACATATTATGTAGCACGCAGCATGAGAAAGCATTTTATCACAAGAAAAAATACATCAGAGAGATCACTAAAACTTGAATTGCATAAGCCAGTTTGAATTAAGTAAGAATTGCGTGTGCAGACATAACAGCACAACAGAAAACCCTCTTTCTGGGCTTGCATCAGTCTAAGCAATCTTAAGTATCATTGCACAACATTTCTAAAGACAGTGATACCCTTGTTGCTGCTGTCATTACCTTGAAAGTCTTGTCCATGGAGGCAGAGAGCAGCAGATGACTGAGATGAGGCACAGGACACCACTGCACAGTGTTGACTGGGCCCTGGTGGCCTCCCAGACTCATCAGAAGCCTCCTCGGGATCCCTGCCGCGCCGGGTTTCTGAGCGAGATACGGCTCAACTCTTGCAGACACATCAAAGAGAACTTGGTTTTCCCCGGCCCGTATCCCTGGGACATGCTCTGCTGAATGCTTTGGGTCCTGAGTCTCAACTGAAGTGGCAAGTCTCTGTCTCTTAGGGATGTACGGTCTGATACCAGACGGGACACTGTGGTGTCTTTTGGCCTGGTTCAAACCATCACCAAAGCATTGTGGCATGTGAGGAAGAGACTGGAGTGGAGAGATCTTCTCCTGAGTTGCAGGTAAACTCAGAGGAGCTGCAGTATCTCCAACACGATTATGCTGTGCTGCCCTGCTTCTGGAATATTTCATCCCCTGATCAAAATGGGGTTGTGGGTGGGGGTGTAATGAGGAGCTGCTTCTTTCTGAGATGTTTCCATGATGTTCCAACAATGTCCAGTCAGGGTCTGGGTGAAAACCCTGAGCGCTGGGTGTCACCTTTGAGTTATTATACAACACAACGTCCTGGCTTTGTTCACAGGATCCAGTTTGTACAGAAGCAGGTGATTCATCCTCTGACTCTGAATCCTCGTAGGACACTAATGAAGACATCTTCTCATGACTCTGTCAAACACACAGGGACAACAGGTGAGAGGCACTTATTCCATCAGATACCCGAAGGTGACATCTAGTGGTGGCTTGGAGTCATGCACCAACAAGCAGCAGATTCACGAGTAACTTTAAAGTAGATTTGTTGACATAAACATGACCTGACCTGGAAGATTAACCAGAAATGTATAAATGTTTTATTTGAGTATTTATTGTCACTAGTGAGGTGAAATGTAAAACTTCCAGGCAGAGAAATGTCAAAAAGGAAAATCCACTATGTGATGTCATTGTGATCAAAATAATAACAATAAAGACAGGATCATTTTCTTGAGAGCCCGGAATTTAGAGTTACGCACATAACGCAGACAAACTGCGTAGTTCCCTTGCCAACAGACATAACAGCGTAAAATTAGCCAGCTAGGTCATTTTGTTAGCTTCATACAGAGCAAACAAACAGCTGCAGCTATCGTTGTTGTGTTTAGTGCAGTTAAACCACATTTAAACTCTGGACGCTGTCACTTCAAACCTTTGCTTTAACTTTAACAGCACGTTTACATTAGTGTTGCAAGTGCTACCAGTATAGCAAATTAAGCTAACGTTGTTCATAAGCTTCTCTGACTTCAAGTTTATTTAATGCTAAAAACAGAGTAAAGTTACCCGGTGAGTCTGTTTTTACCTGTTAGACCTGGAGTCCGTGATAACACCGACAATCTGTCCAACTTCTGAGTCCATCAGTAACACGCTGCTGAAAACATCCCGCAAAACCATCTGACCGCTTTCAACGTTTCAAAATAAAGCATTGTTTCCGTTTTGCCCACTCGCGTCTCAATCATTTGCCGCGTAAATACTTTTATTTTGAAAGTAACCGGTAGGAACACAATAACTGTCCCTCACTTCTGACACGTAACATCAGCTTTACTCACGTGGGATTCTAACTGTTTGGTTTCATCTGAAGGGAATATGATAAAATATGAGAAGTCCAATTTGTAATTAACGCAACTTTTGAAGTGGCGTTTGTTTGTTTTTTGGGTCAGTCAAATCCATAGCGGAACCATTGAGGGAGCCTGGGTTTCTCGGGAAGAATTTGAACCGAGTACTACCTCAGTCAGGCTGATGCAAGCTGTCAGTCAGTCTGTGTGGAGTTGATTTCACGGTAGGATTTTATTTACTGTTACGTCAGCCACTCAATAAGCTACAAGAGTTTCTCTCGCTGTGTCGTTTATGGGAACTATCGCGATAAGATAAATGTAAATGTAGATACCAAGCGCTTAGCTGCTGGGTAGCTAAAGTTAGCAGCTGTGTGAGTCTTCTCACACTCAGTCTCAGTGAAAACCTTACACCTGGATCTGTGTGCTTTTCAAATGTGTCTGTTTTACTTCACTGATCATTTCATGCGACCCCTCGGACAGTGAGCAGAAGATGACAGACAGTCCAATGGAGCTGTACGAGAAACTGACAGCTCAAGGAGAACAAGTCAGAGCCTTGAAAACAGCCAAAGCTGAGAAAGTAAGTAAAATAAACAGAATTAACCTGTGGGTAAAAAAAAGGATGATCCCACACATGTTGTATTTCTAGTGTGATGGTGTGTATGTGTCTGACCATGCACCGATCACTGACTGCTGTTCAACAACATTCTAATGAGTTAGTGATGTGTGACTCTTCAAGTCTTATCTCAGCAACGACCCAAAAACCAAAGAACAAAGTTTCTGGGGTCCTGATGACATTATAAACCAACTTTGGTGAAACCCATTTTTAAAATAGAGTTTTTTGTGCAATAAAATTTCAGTTTATAGATATGGAGCTGGAAAAGATCTGTAAATGATATGAAGACCACTTCTCCATGATCTGTATTAACGGAGATCTGGGATGGTGTAGCCTAAAATTGTGATGATCTGACATGAAATGAAAACAAAGTAAAAAAAAAACACATCTAGTACTTGCAATTGTAGTAATTAGGATTTTCCTTGACTACTCCACAAATTATAGTTCAGTTAATATTCACTGCAATAGGTTTGGAAGTGGGGGTGGGTGAACTGGTCCTTTTAAAGAGATATTTGATTCTGTTGGGCTTTGCTGCTTTTATTCGTTGGGTTCTTCTGACTGCAGTGTGTTTGTGTTCTCCAGGCTGAAATCGATGCTGCTGTCCAGATGCTGCTAAAGTTGAAAGTGGACTACAAACAGACGACGGGTCAGGATTACAAAGCAGGATGTCCGCCCTCAGAAAACTCTGCCGTCACTGACAATGGGCCAGCAGCAGATGGGGACGGTGGCGGCGACGACACAGTTGACCCGTGGAACGTTTCCACCACCAACGCTAAGGGGGTAGACTACGACAAACTCATAGGTGAGAATTTTTGGTGTGGCTCTCACCTAAAGAGCTGAATATGAATAATTCACACTGTGCCATGTCTGTCTTTAGTGAGGTTTGGCAGCAGTAAAATTGAAAAGGACCTGGTGGACAGAGTAGAAAAAGTCTCTGGACAGAAACCTCACCGCTTTCTAAGAAGAGGAATCTTCTTCTCACACAGGTCAGTTTTTTAGGAACTGGTAAATATTTAATCCCAGTACAGGCTTGGATGTATTGATTCTGAACCTAAACCTTCACATTATCGTTCAGGTCTTCTTGTATAGTTAATCAGATGGTGTCAGAATAAAGAGAGTTAGTGGGAAAACGACTCATCGATAAATCACTTTCCTCTTATTGCTGTTTTTTGGCAGAGACATGCATCAGGTGCTGGATGCTTATGAGAAACAAAAGTCCTTCTACCTTTACACCGGTAGAGGTCCGTCCTCTGAAGCCATGCATGTCGGCCATCTTATCCCCTTCATCTTCACCAAGTGAGTTCTCTTCTCCCAAATCCTCATTTTAGTCCTTCACTATTTTGCACCAGATTTTTTACTGATGGCTTCTCCCTTGTTCCAGGTGGCTTCAGGATGTATTTGACATCCCGCTGGTGATCCAGCTCACTGATGATGAAAAGTATCTGTGGAAGGATCTAACACTGGAAGACTGCCACCGCTTCGCTGTGGAGAACGCTAAGGACATAATCGCCTGTGGTTTTGATGTCAACAAGACATTCATCTTCTCTGACCTTGAATACATGGGGTAAAATGTGACAGGATACAATCTCACATTACTTTCTGGCTGACTTTGCTGCTGAGGCTTTTTAGGATGAATGTTTAGCCATTAAAGATCCCTCTTACTTGTTCATGTAACCTGAGTGAGCAAACAATGTCTAATTAAAGTGTTTTTTGTTTGTAATCTGTTAATTTCAATTTCTTTTCCACAGTGCCTCACCCGATTTCTACAGGAACGTGGTTAAGATCCAGAAGCATGTTACATTTAACCAGGTCAAAGGCATCTTTGGCTTCACTGACAGTGACTGCATTGGTAAGACAACTGAAAAGTGGCTTAAGAAAAACCAACCATATGACTTTGAACAGTCATTCAAATATTCTCACATCCCTTTGGAAAGAGGAAGTGACATGTAATAAACTGTTTAATTCAGGGATCACAGTTTCCATTCTGTCTTGTAGCTTCATGTTCCCATATTAAAGTGAAATGATAATTTTGTTTGTTACAGATAAATGAATTATATTTTGTTTAATGATTTAATCATAACTAGTTGGTTTTAACTTCATTCTGTCCTGATTCTGAAGTGTGATTGTAAGAATTCTTTGTTCATTTTAAATTATGTTTATAATTTTGTATCCATCCAGGAAAAATCAGCTTCCCGGCCATCCAGGCAGCCCCGTCGTTCAGTAACTCGTTCCCACAGATCTTTGGAGGCAGAAAGGACGTTCAGTGTCTCATCCCTTGTGCCATCGACCAGGTCAGAACAGCATTGCACTAATACGTGATAGTAATACTTGAGCCATTTTCAGACATGAACTCTGGAGAATGTCCTCACAATTGGGTCTGGACATTTTCCGGAGTTTGCCTTTCCCTCATAACCACTCAGGAAGAGATTCTGAGCTCAGATGTGTTTTTACTAGGGGGAAGGCAGGAGAACGTCCAGAGCATCTCAGAGGATGTCTAAAGGCAGCTTTACTGACATTCATGGTTTACAATGACATGATGTGTTTGGACCCGTCCTCTCTCTCTCATGCAGGACCCTTACTTCAGGATGACCCGTGACGTAGCGCCAAGGATCGGCTATCCCAAACCAGCTCTGCTGCACTCCACCTTCTTCCCAGCCCTGCAGGGCGCGCAGACCAAGATGAGTGCCAGTGATGCCAACTCCTCCATCTTCCTCACGGACACACCCAAGCAGATCAAAAACAAGGTGCTGCTGTTAGTAGTTATTACAAGTCTATAGTTATCAGTCAGATGATTATGGCCTATAGTTGATAATTTCCTGATCTGACCTGTGTACATTTTACTCACAGATCAACAAACATGCGTTCTCCGGAGGGAAAGACACAGTGGAAGAGCACAGGAAGTACGGTGGAAACGCAGAGGTAGACGTCTCCTTCATGTACTTGACCTTCTTCCTGGAGGATGATGAGCAACTGGAGAAGATCCGACAGGTGAGGGGGGAGAGAATTTCACTTCCTTTGCTAATCACACTCTTTTCTGTGATTTGTTTTCCCTCTTCTTTGTACAACAAGCTCTCTGTCTTTCATTTAACCCTTCATCTTGTTAATCATTACTCTCTGCTCATTCATCCTCCTCTTTTACTTCTTTTCTGCACACTCACCCCATCTCCTCTCGCTGCAGGACTACACAAGTGGAAATCTTCTCACGGGAGAACTGAAGAAGATTTTGATTGAGACCCTACAGCCAATGATCACGCAGCACCAAGAGAGACGCAAACAAGTCACAGATGAGACAGTCAAGCAGTTCATGACTCCGAGACCTTTAAATTTTAACTTCTAGCCTGGGTTAGCTTCCGAAATGTCAGGGATCTTCATCCTATGAATCTCAAGACAAGAACAAATAATGCATCCATCTGTTGCCCATTTAAAATCCACATCATTGCTAAATGGAAGGTGGACATTTGCTCATAGTTTGCATCAGAACTGGAGAAAAAGTGTAAATGTAAATTACTGGAGATGATGTCCTCTGTGTTAAAACTAAGCATGGCATTGTCCACAGCTTCATGCTAAACGTTATGCCACTTGTTAATGTTCATGAAGTGTTTGTATTTTCGGTGCTGCTGTAACATCACGCGAGTCCTGCTCCTCGCATTGAAATCAGTTTGAATGGAAGATGATTAAAGTGAAGTACAAATGTTGTTGTGGCAAAATCTGCATTGTGATCTACAATAACACAGCTACACACCCACTTTTCATCATGGCAAGTATTTCATTCGGGATGAAAATAGATTCAGAACAATAGCTGTCATCACTGTGAGTATGAAAAAAGGTGTGTCATCAAAGATGATAATAAAGATTACGAAGAGTTAATCCCTTATGAGTTAGAGCACATACCAGTAAGTCTCCATCTCTCCTCAGAGAGAACAAAAGCAAAAGTGACTTCAGTCAAACCTTTTCATTGACTCAACATTAAACTGCACTTCAACAGAAACTCTCTCTTTTGAAAGCTAGTTGATATTTATGATTTCAACCATCAGATGAAAGGAATGTTTCAGTAATGCTCAGAGGGAATTTCATAACATCTGGGACAAATGTCCACTTGGACAGAAGAAAGACCTGATGAGATGTAGGTGTTCAAAGGTCCAAAAGACCAGTGGTTAAATTGTCACTGTGACATCATAATGTTTTACAAAATCAATATTTAACACCATAACTCAGGAACACAAGGGGATATTGTGAGGCGTACAAACACAAGGTGGTGATTCTAGTTTTCTTTCTATTTCTATGGTCGTACATCGAAAGTACCAATTTTTCCCACTATATCCCAAACATCAAATATATTAAAACATGTATTTAGTGATACAGTTGCTGCACAGGTGAGCTGTGTTTGGACTGACCAGGTCAGGTCAGTCTTTGGACCTGACAGCTGTTTACAGATGATATGACAGCTAGTGTGAAAGGTTGGTACCTGAGCTCCTGTGTAGAGGAACAGCTTCTACATGGTGCACAGACAGTGGATGGGCCCAGAGTACTTTAGTTCAAGGCCTTCTGCTGGAAGCTCCAAAAGCTGAGGACACAAGTAAAACCTGAGAAAAAGAAAAGAAGGAACGAAAGCATCTGAGAATGAATCCACTTGAAAAACAAAGACAAGAAGTCAGAATAAATATGCAATAAAAACAATTTCTAGGATTACTACAAATTATACTGAACAGGTTTTTAGTGTGCACATGATTGTTGGAAATTGTCCTCCAGTCATTTAAAGCAGACACATATTAAAGTCTCTTTGCAGCCTCATGTCACCATGGCTACGGCAGGTGTAAGGCAACGGTTTTAGGTTGATAACACAAATACCAATTTAGTTTTAATTACAGAGTCATTTAGCCAGCAGATTACCCCAACGAGTCATCGTCAGGAAAATCATTCATCTATATCAGCACAGCTTCAACGAAAAAATGTCACAATATTGACCAGCTTGTTTGCCAAATGATTGTTTTTGAAACATTTTGGAAAAAACCCTGTCAAAATCGAAACACGGCCCTCAGTAGAGCACATACCTCTGAAACAAGGGTTTGGACTTTGAATTCAATCAAACTGTACCAAATTGCACACATCAGTCACATAAGTAGGCCTATTTTTATCCATACAGATCCAAGAATAAATGGCATCCCATTATTGAGAGGCATGACCAAAATATAATGGAGTCTTCCTTGGGGGGGTAATGCTCCACACCTCCACAAAATTTCATGTAAATCAGTTGAGTAGATTTTTTTTATTTTGTAACTAACAAACAAGTGGACAGTGGTGAAAAAATAACCTCTATGGTGCAGGTAACTATAGTAACTATCAATGTGGCTGAATAAGGTCTTTTTTTCTTATTGCACTTTATTGGCTCCATGATATCACACTTTCAACCAGCATTACATTGAGTTATTGATCTCTTCTGCTCTTTGTATGTAAAACCATTAAAGCCATAGCACTCACACGAAATGGATTTAAGGGGATATTCAAATGAAATTAGTCAAAATACTTAATTACAAAGTTTTCTTTTGCTTTTAAATCCTTTTTATTAGATACCTTACAATACATAAAATAGGATAATCCCGCATCTTGAAAATCTACATAATAAAATTTAGATAATTCTAAGAATCTGAAAAACTATGGCACAAGTTCCCTATTTTGAGAGTTGGTCAAAAGCAATGCCCCTGTAAACATGGGTACTCACAGTCATTATCAATACTGTCATTTTATCCAGCAGCACTTTTGCTCAGTATTTTCATTTTCTTTTATAACAGTAGACTTTAGGAGAGGAAGGCTCATATGGAATTAATTCCTTAATGATTAGGGAATAGGCTACGATCTGCAAGTACTTCTACTTTTAATGCTTAAAGTACATTTTAAAGGAAAGTAGTTAATTTTACTCAAGTAGAAACGTGATTGTGATACTTTTATTTTGTTCATTGTCTATTTATTTGTACTTTTACTTCAGTAAAATGTTAGAGTACCTACTCCACCACTGCTTCTTTATCACCTATGGATGCAAACGACTGTTTTACCACAGATATCTTTACATTCCATTTGTGCATTTTATATTTATATCGTGTGAAATAAAGAAATGAATCAATCTATCAAATTCGACCTTAGTGATGTGGAGTAAACCTGGATCCTCAGGAGGCCCTGGGTGGTCTCTCACTTCACTTGTGATCCAGTTCAATAAAAACCTCTTTATCAAATGATCTCTCCTCCAACTTGGTTTTAAAAGGTGTTCAGTGAATTGCACCACTCTGCACAGGGGTCCCTGGTGTTGTGACCTGAACTTGGCACAACTCTGTGCCATGGAAAGCGAAGTCGGTCTCTCGGTTGGACAGTGAGACAGTGACACATGCCGATGACGACCACCGCGATAACACTGTTGATTTTGACGATCGGCACCGGCCGAGTCCTCCGCGGCTCTGCCCGGCTGCAGCAGCCAATGGGCGCGGGGGGCGGACAGCCGCCGCTGGGTGTTGTCTTCCTCCGAGTGTCCCGATTGGGCTTCTTTAAAAAAGCCGAACACGCTCCTTCTTTTTCACCGGGAGCCCCCGCCTCCACCGCGGCGGGTACAGAAATAGAAAAGAGCTTGAGCACTGGGAGACAGAGCGCGACACATCAGCGGAGAGTTACAAACCGGTTAGCCTGCTCCGAAGCTCCGAGTCCGGGTGATAATCCGCAGCCGACGGAGACCCTCTATCTTCCGCCTGCTTGGCACCAACAACGTCCGTAACCCAAAGAGAAAAAGAGAGGGAGGGTACCAGCTCGGCTCGAACACAAGCCGGGGGTTTGTCTTTCAAAAAAAAAACCGCATCAGTCTGAAATCAAGACTTCCCTCTGCGGGTGAACCGAGCCACAGGTTGTCCACCGCCGAGTTAGCTCGACCCGTACCGGCCGTGAGGGTGTCTCTTGGGGGGGAATGGCATTGGACTTCGCCGCGGGCTGCTTGGGAGGTAAGTCGTTAGCCACGTTAGCAGCAGCCCCGGGTTAACAGATTGGAGGTAGCATTAGCATTAGCTGCCTCCTGTATTTTTCCACCCAAGTCAGTGAGTTGTGATCTGACCCGATCGATCGTTGTAACAGAAACGAAGAAACACGTCGGGTTAGTGGAGTGTGGGTGTTAGCAGCAGGTCTGAAGAACCAGGATCAGAGAGTTGAAGTTAAACTCCTCACCTCACACAGGGAGGGGTTTTATCTGCATGAATGAAACCTGCAGGAACGCGTGTGTGTTAGCCACGTTCACTTCCGCAGAAAATATTTGGAAAAAAGTTTTTGGGTGTTAAAAAACTTATAATAAGATCAAACTGTTGCATCATTGTTTTCATAGTTATCACCTGTTTCGTTAAATCGCTCTGGAAAGGAGAAGGAGTCAGTGTCTTCCTGTTTGAATGGTGGTTTCCAGTTTAATCTCAAACCCTTTGGGAAACTTGTCACCTGTTTTGTCTTTGCTCAAGGCCACATCATCCCAAACCAAAACTAGAGTATGCTACTCAAACCCAGGTTGTGATAGTATATATTCAGTATGATTAACCAGATCGCAGAGGTATGAGTGCACAAGATTGTAAACATGTGGATGAGATTGATTACAAAGCTGACATTTAACTTCATTTAACTGATAAATATATATATATATATATATATATATATACCTCAAAATCTGCCATCATGATAGATTATACATTGAAGAATTGGAGCTTCACGTGTGGAGAGATGCCTCTGATGATTCTGGGCTAATGTGACCTGATAACACTCTTTCTCAGATTGGTCAGGACACTGTGTTGCAGTGTATTGGAGTTCTGGCTCCCTGGAAAAGGTCAAGGACAGTCCACTGAGCTTTCATCCCTGCGTACAGTGACCAGCTGATTAGTCCCATGATGGGTGGGCTGTCGGCGGTTTCGAGATGATCCAGTTCACTAGATGATCATAAGATGTTTTCCTTCCCCAAAACCAAACCTCACTGTTTTGCAATGTTTCATTGTGACAGCTCGATAATCGCATGACATCGTGTGTGGTTTTAGATATGTATTGTACTGGTGTAGTGCTATCATCAGGTCAAACGGATAATAGCAGATCAGATTAAAAGTAAATATTTATGAATATATATTTTCCTTTCCACTAAGTAGGTTATGTTTTCATCTTTTAAAGCAAAATTACACAAAAAACCACTGAACTGATTTCCATGAGACGTGGTAGAAGGACGTGGTCTGGCTCAGAAAACTGTGGATCTGCAGCAGATCCAGAAAGTTTTTTTTCCCCACATTCTTTAACTTTGCCAGATTCAGGCATTTCTCAACACTTTGCTTTTTTCCCCAGAGAATAATCAAGGAGCTTAATTTAGGGAACTGATATCTATGAGTGTATTTAGTGCAGCTTGATTGAATTGAATGGGGCTGTTGGGTCTTGGCGGAGGAATTTGGGCCATTCCAGTCTGAATATGTTTTTAAATTGAGTCTCCTGTTCTTCAGGTGCTGCTGGTGTTTTGGTTGGACATCCATTTGACACTGTGAAGGTGGGTATTAAATATTTACTTCTGTTAGGCAACGACATGATCCAGTGCTGTGCTGTCAAAATGTTGTAAGTCCGCCCACTCTGTTGGCAGCCTGGATTAGCACCTAAAGCTACACCTAAAGTTACACAGTCAACAGGAGTGCCAGAGTTGAAAGAGAAGAATTAGTCGTCTGATCACTATAGCAACATCAGGACAAACATATTTGTAGAACTAAACTGTTAAATTCTGTACATGTAAATGTGTTTTAAGTTGTGTTTATATTTCTGTTTCTTTATGACGATCAAATCTATTTCTATAGTTTAGAGAGAAAGTAAAACCTCTTATTAGATACATGTTACTTAGCTATTTTTATTATTATTAAACATGCACCCAACATGCGTCCTCCATAGATTTTAGTGCCTTATCCAATGCTGACATCTCTTTCAACTAACTGCACCTCAAAGAAGGTGGCATTAAAGCTTTTTATTTAAGTCAAAAAGAAACATTACAGAAAGATTATCATTTTGGATTCCCTGTTTTTCACTCACTTGATTTGTTTTAAAAAGGCAGGGACATTTTAAATGTTTAAATATAGCATATGATTGTGCAAATCTGCAGCTTTCACTTTCTAAATGCACAAAGATGGTGAAGGGTTTGGTCATAGCTCTTGTATGCCTTGCTTTTAATATCATTTCTGCCTGAGCTGGTGTGTATGTGTGTGTGTGGGGGGGCCAGGGGCGGCTGTCTTTAACAGCAACAGTGTCACTGTGTTGTAGATGAGAGAGAGAAATAAACAACCTCTCCACGGAAATGTGACCTAGTAAGTATGGTCCAGGTCTTTCTTCTCTCACCCAATGTCCTGTCTTGAGCAATAGAAATGTAAAGAACAGAAAATAATTTATTTTTTAAACGTCATTTGTTCTTCTTCATATTGCACCCCCCCCCTTTAAGCATCCTATTTTTTAAACCCTAAACTGAAACCATTTCAAAACACTGTTGCCTGTTTGTTTCCCTTGTTAAAAATGTATGTGGCTTGTTGTCGGTCTCTTAGGCCTCTGTACTCCGTTGCACGACTCTAACTCGAGCGTTGTCATCAACAGGTACGGCTTCAAGTTCAAAATGTGGACAAACCTCTGTACCGTGGAACATATCACTGCTTCCAGTCCATCATACGCCAGGAGTCGGTAAGATCATACCCCTTGTGAATGCCTCCGGATGTCGTACCAGTCTGTTTCCTGGATTGCGTTTAGACCTGTTTGCAGCTTCCAACATGTGCTCTACTATGGGAGGGGTGGCTGCACTAATTAAAGTGTCCAGTTACTGTCCCATCAGCTCGACACCAGCCAGTGTTCCTAACATGGGATGTGAGGGGTGAAAGGGAGGGGCAGTGTGTCTGTTAGTCAGGGTCAGCGAGGACCTTATTCCTGCGTGGGCTAAATTAAGATTTGGACGTCGTGCCATTTAAGTGGTGTATGCTTGGTCTTGTTGGATTTCTCATGGAGGTGTCGGGTTGTCTTCCTCCCACAGGTACAATATACACATTTTTAAATTTGTGAATGGTTTCTTAAGTTAACTTGAAAGTTTGATGATTAAGGGATCAGGGCTTTGAGAAGTGATTTATTCATAATTTCTAGCATCTGTTACTGTAACTGCAACAAAAGCACTCTTAGTTTTCACTCTGAATACAAAACATTCAGCTTAGTCGAGAATAGTGTACTGTCATTTTCTAAACCAATACATTTTCCACGTCTTGGCCGATGTATAATGTCATTCCAATGAAGGACACCAGCTGAAGCTAGCAGCTAACGGTGTGGAAGTGATTTTAACTAGATATAATCAAAATAAAGAGTAAAAAATACAGAGGGGGCATTTGGAATAAATACGACACTAGTGGTTGGAGTTATTTGACTCCACCTTAACAGCTGCTAATATTTTACTAAAACCTCTTTTATACCAAAATGAGTATCAGTTACTAATTTGTGTACTTGAAAGATCACAAACAGTGATTTTGATTGACCTGCATGGATCTGCAGAGGTGTTGATCTGACTCTAAATGTTGGTGGTCCCAGTAACTTGTCTTTGTGTCTGTAGACGCTCGGTCTGTACAAAGGCATCGGCTCACCAATGATGGGTCTGACCTTCATCAACGCCATCGTCTTTGGTGTCCAGGGCAATGCCATGCGCAAGCTTGGCCGCGACACACCGCTCAACCAGTTCCTGGCCGGAGCCTCAGCTGGAACCATCCAGTGTGTCATCTGCTGCCCGATGGAGCTGGCCAAGACACGCATGCAAATGCAGGGGACTGGAGAGAAGAAGTCTAAGAGGAAGCTGTACAAGAACTCCCTCGACTGTCTGGTGAGAATCTACAGGAAGGAGGGAATCCGAGGTATCAACCGCGGCATGGTGACCACCTTGCTGCGCGAAACACCTGGTTTCGGTGTGTATTTTCTCACATACGACGTGTTGACACGTGCCCTGGGCTGCGAGCCAGAAGAACCGTACATGATCCCTAAGCTGCTGTTCGCTGGTGGAATGTCAGGCATTGCTTCCTGGATCTCCACCTATCCCGTGGACGTGATCAAGTCACGCCTCCAGGCAGACGGGGTCGGCGGAGTCAACCAGTACAGCGGCATCGTGGACTGTGTGAGACAGAGCTTGAAGAAGGAGGGGTGGAGGGTGTTCACACGTGGGCTCACGTCCACTTTGCTCCGCGCGTTTCCGGTGAATGCCACCACGTTTGCCACCGTGACTCTATTTTTAATGTACATGCGCGAGGGACAAGAGTGCAGCATTCAGGACCCTGAGCCACAGTCCGTCCAGCTGCAGCCTCTGCAGCCACAGGCACAGACGACCAGCATGTGAGCCACGTTTCATCCGTCAAATACAGATGGAACTTTCAGCTCCTCGCAGGTCTGATCCATCAGCTGGTTTCCATAATAACAAACATGAACTGATCCTGATTAAACATCTGTCCACTGGGCTCCTGCAAAGTGACCATGGAGTATTTAATAATATATAGTGTATTTTAAGATAAAATCCGCACTTGTAAATATGGCCTCTTTTTTAACATCCTTGGATTTTGTTGAGTCTTAGGAGTCAGGAACCTCAACAGTTACAGAGTTGTGCTTGCAGATGTCCCAAATATTTTGAGTCAAGGAAACACTGTCATTGATGCTGTTTTCAGGTCAAAACGAGTAATACCTGGAATTTAAATCAACAACTGGTCTAATATTCTCTCCATCTATTTTGTTCAGGTCAATAAGTCCCGATTACTCTTTATCCTCATATGAAACACAGCATTTTTACATTGTTTTGTAGTGGTTACAAGAACATAGAGAGCTTATACATGTACATTTATGTAGATATTCATTTTCTGAAATTACAACGGTTTATGTAGCTTAACTTTCCTATGAAACTAACGTTTTAGTCACCTACCGTCTTTTTACTTTGGTTCTTTGTCTACGATAATGTCTTTAAAATGGTTAATTGTTGGAAAATGATGGTTATAGGTTATAATCTTGTTGTTTTGGAGATTGTATTGAGTCCAAAGAAAGCACCTTATGGTATGACATCATTAAGCATACGGTTACATTTTTGCCAGTCACATTCTTTTTAATTTACACTCAGTCAAATGTGTTTGTTGTATTTACCACTAATGCAAGAATCTGTGTTCAGCAAAAGTGGTGACTTGTCAAGTAAAAGGGATTTTAAAGTACAAAATTATGTATAAAATTCCTGTGATGGGAGGTTTTGTTGTTTATCAGGCGCCATGTTGTCCACAAGAGGGTGATGTCTACAAACTAACCTGAGACAGAGAAAAGGCCCCTATAAGACTCGGAGCTGCAGATTTTCTGTCCTTGATCAAGCTTCTTATGTGATCTTTTTGAAAGTCTTACCACCTGTAAGCTAAATGAAACTGATCAAACACCTCCAGAGGAAATGAAATAGTCAAGTAGAAATACAACTCCTCATGAACTTGATTTTAATTATTTACTTCTGTCTGTAAATTGATGAACCTGTAACATTATGACATTCAACCCTTAGAGACTAAGTCACTTGACATTAACTTTGAATCTTCTGCCAAAAAAACTAAACGATTTAAGTCCAAATCTCTCTTCTAATGGTTCTGTTTTCTGTTAGCTTCTTCTTTTCTTTTTAATCAAAAAAGACCCGTCTGCTCTCCTCTCCATGTTAACCTACAGGACAAAGGGCACCCACAGTGTCTCTCAGTGCAGTGTGGATTCTGTCAACAGTTGCACTACTGAAAACCTCTTCGCAGGTTTAAAATATCAACTGAGACACAAGTAAAAGACAAGCAATCATCAACCTGCCTGCAGGTGGTGCCACACAGATGTTACAACTGTAGAAGCTGTTACTCTTCCTGCACATCTTCATGTTTTCACTGGGCCTGCAGAGTCACAAACTGCTCTGGAGTTGTTCAAGTAATGTACACACTGTGAATTTGGCTTTTTTTCTGTTCTCGTTTTTGTTCAACTTCAGGCTTTGATTTTATTTACACTTCTGTATTAAGACTAATGTGTATATATTCTGGGTTTGCCTGACTTTGTTGGTGGAGGATATGATTACAGATATTTTTGTGAAACGACTGCGTTAATTGTGTTCTGTACTGTATGTGCACGTCTTGTACCAAAGCAGCATGTTCTCTGTTGAATGTTGAAATAAAAGCCACTTTCCCCTTCACATTCTGAAACACACAGTTCTTGGTGCAGCTATAAAATTCAATGTTAATCCTTGGAAGTTTTTAGATCTCAGGAATAGAGAATTAATGGATGTTTGCAACATGCTCTGACCCACATGTTCCATTAAGTAAGTGAAGGGCACTCAAAGCGTATACTTCCACCCGGTCCCAACATTTAAATTCACTAGATCCAGATTTTTATTTGGATCTGCACCAAAGTGCACTCACTCATATCAGTCCTTTAAACATGACTTTTCTTTCATTAAGATGAATTCATTTTCTGAGAAATCAATAATGAAAAAATGTTTGGAAAGAAAGTGGAAATAAAATTGAATTGCCCCCTAATTCGGATCACCATGAAAATAAATTGGTTTATTTCCTGATATTTTCCTCATTCCACATCCTTCCACCAAGTTTCATGGAATTCCTTCTAATAGTTTTTACGTAATCCAGCTAAATAACAGATAAACAATCTAGAAGGGTGCTCAGAGAGTGTATACAACAAGACCGACATCCTCTTTCATGGAAAAGAAAGTGAAAACTAATTCCTGGATCTGCCCTGTGATCTAGAGTCCCTCCAAACTTTGATGGGTTCTTTTGGTCTTGCCCAACCCCTCCACAAAATTTCATGGAAATCAGTTCAGTTGTGCATAATCCTGCAAAAACAAAAAACAAACGGCAGAAAACACAACGTTCTTGGATGAGGTAACAAAGGGCTGGACTGTAGTGGTTGTAATATCACAGGTTTTACACAGTTTTGCTTTTTCATTCATATTTTAAGCATAAAAACAATCACGTACAAATATATCACTGTTTATTTTACAAATTCAACACAATATCTGTATGTGTCCATTATTTTAACATAAACAATAAGTTATTCAAGTGTCAGATGCAGATCTTGGTTCTTATGATCACAGTGTTGCTGACAGGATTACTCCCAGTACGACAACATAAATTAGACAGTAGGCTTTATGTATGTCCCATTGTGTTACATAAAGTATTAAGCTGAGCGGGGTTTCCCCTCAAGTTCTTGTGCAAAATGGTTGAGTCATTATCCTGAGGCTCTTCTCTCAATCAGACACAACAGCAGATTGTGCGGCCACCGTATGCAGCTGATCTACTGTCGTCCTCTGGTCCCTGGAGCGTAAATAAGGAAGGAAAAACAAAGGGCAGAGAAAAATGATGATACTGTGGCAGAAAGGAAAGATGATGGACGAAGTGGAGAAACAGGAAGAAATAAAAGGAGCTTGTTGGTGATTAATGATGGAGAGGGAGGAGTTCCCACAGTCTGCCTGCCCAGGCTGCTAACTGGTTTTTCCTGCTTTTGATGTGTTCATGAGGAAAGTGTCACAAGGGTAGCGCAGGAACCGGTAGATCTCCTCAGCTCTGGATGTGCTCATACAGCCTCCTTTCTGTATCGCTTCAATGGAGCTGCAATAAGAGGAGCTGTTATGATGAGTAAACAAGAAGGAAAAGACGGCATCATGATATGAAAACACGCTCTTCTTTTACCTGTTCATTAGTTCTGCGATGGACCTGAAGTTGTGGCTCATGTTCAGAGCGTGGACGAAGCTGACTGAAGGCAGGCTCAGGTACAGCTGCAGGGCTTGCTGCCTGTGCTGCCCTTTGACCTCCAGCGGAACACTGATGCCCTGACCTTTACGCTGCTCCAGCCGAGCCAGGTCCGCCAGCAAGCCGGCGCTCTCTTCGGCGCCGTTGCTCCACAGCAGGCGAACCCCGGTGCGCACCAGCCCCGCTAACGTGCCGTCATAGAAACGCGTGCGCTGAAACGGTCGTGATGCTTCACCTGAGAAAGTGACGGTTATCACATGGATGAGAAACAAACATTATCCCACACAGTGTTTCAGACAAAAAAACAGCATTAAACCTCCCATAACACCACAAACTGTCGCAACTACACCTGGGTATTTATACAGATGAACAAACAAGAGCTGAGCTTCATGTTTGGTCCAACAAAATGAGAGTTTTATCAATCTTTTCATCCTCCTCTCTGTAGAAAAGCATATAAACTAGTGCTTTTAATATTTACAAGAGTTGCCCATTATAAACCACGAATGAAAGAAGACAAGAAATGTCTGCGTGCCAGTTTTGGACACAGGCCCTTTCTAAGTGAGGTAATTCAAAATTTTGTGGTAGCCTCAGCTGACATTTCTTGTCTTGATTTTCGCTCCTGCCCAGCACTGAGTCTGTGGATGTACATGTTTTCCAATACTATCTCGAAAAAACATAAATAAAAGTCTTAAAATATAGATTTTATACAGTATTAAGATCCTTGACACAAACTGACCTGGTTTACTTCGGTCCTTCTCCACAATCAGACAAACGCGCTCAAACAATCCCTGTAAGCTGTTCACTCTTTCGACCAATCGCTTCCGGTTCTGCATTGCTGCCAGATCGGACTGGCTGTGCCTCTCCACCGCCATGCGGTTGCTGACGATGAAGTAGCTGCCGTCCAGGGAGCAGACGTGGACGGTGGCTGCGTGGCGCTGACGCAGGCTGGTCATCAACTCCACTCCGGTACTGATGCAGCGACTGTCCACAAGAATGCAAACAGGCCCAGGAGGAGGAGGGGCCTCGCTCACTGATGCACCCTGACAGACGGACTCCTGGGGCTGAGGCACTGAGGAGGGGGTGGGTGGGGCCTGGACAAAGGAAATCAAATGTATATGTTTACTTTGAAGTTTTTAAGAAATAGCTTCAGTGCACAGGTTCTAGCGATAATGCACCTGATAAAAAATGAATCAGCACAGTGTGTCTATGTACTGCATCTTTCTCTCCCACATGTACGGCACTGTGGACAGGTGTGTTAACCATAGACTGCTTATAAAGATGGACGACATGACAGCTCCGCTGCAGCGAAGCCAAAGGCGCTCACCATCTGTTTTGGATGGGACATGGACGAAACTAAAACATCAATGTACAAGTAAAATCAATTTTTCAGCCCATCGTTACTCCGCCTCCTCTGGCTCCAAATGCGCAAGATGGCAGCGATTTCATTCAGGATATTTTGGCTTCATTTCAAGATAGGGGGATGAAATGGAGACGCGTTGTCCATCTTTACACACAGTCTGTGGTGTGTACGTTCGTTTTGTTTGCTTTTACCTTGGGCGGATTCTTGGAGGTTATCTGCGACACTGACTTCTCAAAGTCGAGCTCATCAGAGAGGAGATGCTGATTTTCTAACCTCCGGCGACACCTGCAGGAGAACACAAACAATTCTCTAATAGCTGCTAACTGAAGATCTGTGCGACTATATGACAGTTTCCATACCTCTCATTTAGCTGTTCTTCACTCTCCGAGCTCCTTTGTCGTTTACTCAACAGTGAGACCTTGGTTGCGATGGTTGAAGATGAGGAGAAGGGGCCTTTCTGCTGCTGCTGATGTCTGCTGGGCTCCAGCTGTGCTGCCTTTTGCTGCGAGGTGACAGCAACACTGCCCCCTGTGGTAAGGCTTCTCTCTTCGCTAACTTCACCTGTCTCCTCATCACTGGAATCATTCACACGTATGATCCGGGTACGCTTGGTTTTCTCCTCAGCTCTCTGCTCTGAAGAAGCTTCGGCCCCGGTCTTAGCGCCGGGTCTGTCTCTCGCCCTGACGTTGTGCAGGAAAACACGCCGCCTGGTGGCATACTGCCTCCTACCATCTACGTACGAGTCCTCAGGCATGAGCTCGATGTCCTCAGCCTCTTCCACGCTGCTCTCCACCTCCTCCACCTCACTGCCGACCACAAAGCTGTCCTCGGCATACGTTTCATCCAACTCAGGCACCTGGGCATAAGAGGTCAGGCGGATAGATACATGTTTGTTCGGAGATTTTTCATCTGCATTGGGTAAAGAAATGCTTGGTATAAAATAGAAAGTATACCTGGGAAAAGATGTCAGTGCGATGGGTTCTGTAAGACATTTTGAATTTGCCGTGGACTGCAGGGCTTCTCACTGACTTCAGGTAAACCCCATGCATCTCTGAGTCTGACAGACAGGAAGCACAAGTCTAAGTGTCACTGCAGGACTACAGCTTCCTAAAGCACTCAAACACAGCTCAGGGAATCTGATTTGAATAATCCACTTATCCAGATATAGCATAAGCACATTCATTGGTGCTGTACCATTCAGTCCCTGAGAGAAGTGTGTGTTGTTGACCACAAATCCATCAAGAGACTGGTTCTGATCCTCTCCATCCTCTTCATCAGACGACACGTCTGCCCCCTCCTCATCCTCCGACAGCTCCGCTTCCTCCTGCAGGAACTGACGCACTTTGTGACACACGGCGTGCTGATAAAAGAAACAATGGAAAATGTCAACGCTGAAGGTGTCAACAGATATAAAAACATGGTCTGAAATTTTGCAGTGACTGTATTTTGAAAAAGACGAAGAGCTGAAAGAGGTCAGGGCTTAATAATGGAGCCAGAAAACCTGTCATTCCCTGCATGAAGCTACGAGTAAATGAAGAACTTCAGATTCTGATCACAGCTTCACACTGAGCAATCTGTTGCTGCACAGACCTTGGCTTCGGCCCGTTTGACTCGTTTCCTCTCGGCTCCCTGCGCTGGGGTTCTGTGTGCAATCACTTTCTCGTTCTGGAAATCATCATCAGAAACAGCTTCGCCCTCTGTTTCATCAGACTGGAGGTCAACAAGCAGAGCAAATTAGTCCAATACTGTGCACCGTGAATGCTTTCTGATGCTGCACATGAGGACATGCAGAAAAAATTGACGAGGTAATATACTTTCGTACTAATCGAGAAATTCTCACAGTGTTAAGAGGAGCTGCCCGTTTCCTGTTCACAACCACCGGAGAGTCCACGTCACTGATCTTGGACTAACAGAGAAAAAACATTATCATACATACATACATAGATGTGTTTTCTTACTCAGGAACATTGTCTATTATAAGAATGCTTCTTTTTCTTCTTTAATGAGGATATTTCTTGCTGTGACATTTCATTCACATTACTTCTTGCAGACTGGTTGTCATGACAACCGCATGTACCTTTGGAAATGATGGACAGAGGCAACCGCAGTCGTCTGAATCAGAAATCTCCTATCTAGGCTGCTGTTTTTGTGGCATCACACAGATGTGTATCAATGTGTGACTGTGTTTTGTTGACAAGACTGAGCAAAACTCAAAGAGCCACAGTTTAATCTAAACTGTTAAAAATATAATAATTTTAGTTTAGTAGAAAACTGAATATCTTTGGGTTTTTAGACCAGGTCGGTTGGTCAGGGATTTAGAAAAAGAGGTCACACAATGCAGGATACAAGAATCTGATGGACATTTTTTCCGAATTTTATAGACCGAATAATAAATCAATTAACTGAGTGAACACAAATGACCTGAGACCTACCCACCTGGTCCAGGAAGCAGATTAATAAAATAAGATAAAATAAAAATCATTAGGCCTTGCTAACCACTTCTGGGGACGACAAAGTGTTGAACACATCCTGATGTCTTCTTTTAAGAACCACAACTTCCTCTTCACTGTCACTGTTGGACTGCTCTAAGAAAGGTGAGACAGAGAAAAGCAGGAACATTGACACCAGGTTTCCCCCAGTAAAAATCTAAAAGATTCAATATGAGGAAATCAACATTCACGATTCATATTTTTTAAGGGTAAACAAACCTGGATGAGGGGGTGAGTCAGAAACACAAACCGATTTCTGAAGTGACCTGTTCTCCGCACCTGACCCTCCCTTGACCTCGGCGGGGCAACCTGCTGGTCGTTTACATTTCGAGCTGGAGAGCAAAGAGGGTGTGTGCGGCCTGGCTGGACCTGGCATGAGCGTCCTCCTCACTCCCACTGATGTGATGGGAGAAGGGAGAGCACCACTCTTAAACATCCGAAAAGGCGACATTTCTCTGTTCCTCTGCTCTGAAAAAATTTGGGGTGTGGACAATTTAGATTCACGGCACTGTGCAGGGATTCTCTGTGCAGTGAAGCTGTTATAGGGAGTGGAGGAGTTAGAAACGGTCAGCAATGACACTGGGGAGTCAGCTTTCTGCTTTTTAGGCTCTGGAGAGGTCAACGTACACGAGGCAGGAACGGCCTCTACGTCTGCTTCGTCTCCTGAGTCCTCCAGGGAATAACCAAGGTCAAAGTTGACAGAGAAGTAGTCATGGGAACTATCACATGACTCAGCGTTTTGTTGCACTGTGGGAGATTTGCAGTGAGCTGAAATTATCTTATCTCCAGTGTTGCAAGCGGCTGCATCATGAGTTGTCTGCTTGGCATGCAGAGTTTGAGTTAGTTGCTTTGTGCATGCTAAATCATCCGTTTGCATTGTGTTTAATCTTTGTCTGCTGTCTGCTGTGTGCTCAGTGCTAAACGGTTGTGTTGTGTTCTGCATTTGTGACGTGTCAGACTTCCTTTTTATGCTGTTGGGAACGTTTCTGGCACAAGGGGACGTCCTGGGTGTGACTCCAGGAGTGGGGATGTCGGGGATAGTCATTTGCAGGAAGGCTTCGTCATCCCCAAACAGATCCATGCTGTCGTCCATGTGAGGGCTGCACCGAGAGGCCCTGTCGTCGTTCACACCTCCATCCGTCGAGTGTGGCGTTTCCTCAGTCCTCACATTATCCCAGCTGACCTTTTCCTCGCTCGTGTTGTCTGAGTTATTCTTTATTTTCTGGCTCTTCTCAGCTTCCTCGCCAATCTGTTGCTTCTTGAAGTTATTGTACAGTTCCTCGTCTGCCTCGATGTTGGCTTCTTCCTCCCCAAACACCTCATCCCAGGTTGGACTGTTGGCTGCTACACGAACAGGCAGATGCTCCTCATGCAGCAGATCACTACAGTTTTTACTGACCTCCTGACCCGCTGGAGGCTGGTTTGAGTCTGCCCTCTGGGAGGCATTGCCGGCGTTGCTCATCATCATTTCATCATCATCGTCTATGTCCAAGGTAAAGCTGACCTGAAATGGTTGATTAAGCTGCTGATGAAAGGGAGGAAGTGACGGAGTCGCCATATCAGCCTCTAACTCTGCAGGCGGCAATGAAGGAGATCGAGAGAGGAGCTCGGCCACGTGAGCCAGAATGACCTTCAGACTCTCACTTGTCCCCGGAAGGAGCTCAGCAGAGGAGGGAGGAGGAGCTGAATCCCACTTTGGAAGGTAGAACATGGCCTGAAGCTCAACATCTTCTTCCTCATCAACTTTTGTACTCAGCCGTGAGATAATGTCTGAATTTATGACACCTTCGTTAATATTGACACAGTCATCATCCATGTCTGCTTCTGGACAGTCATTTTTTGAAGGGAGAGGACAAATAGCCTCAAGCCCTGGGTGATCTGTGAAGTCGCTCTCAAGTTCCTCGATACACTCCAGATCAGACGATGTAGAATGAGAAGGTTTGAGTGTTTTAGCGCAGGTGTTTACGCTCTTCTGCTTCTTCTGTCCTTTCCTCATGTCGCCATCTTTGTCGGCTTTGTGGAGGTAAGGAAGAAGCTCCTGTTCGTAATGGCACTCCCCCTGAATACACACACACACACACACACACACACACACACACACAAACAGAGGGAGTTGTATAAGAAAAGATCTCACAGCAGGAGGACCAAGGTAAAGGAGCTGCTATTAACTATGCCAGCCTGTTCTACGTCAGCTGTGATGTTGAGGCCGTCCAATTCGCCAATCAAACTCTAATATAATCAGAAGTGTCCGAGGAAGAGATGTCACATGGCAGCCACACATGGGGCACATACAAGTCTGATTGCCCAAATTAGTTTTGGTAAAGCATGGAAGAAGACAGACTTTGTCTTGTTACAATTAGCTGTTGTTCAAAGCTCCGCAGGAAAACAGTTTTAATAGACATTAAAACTAGCAATAAAGCTCCAACAGAATTACGTAATCTCTCTATCTCTGCGGATAAACAAGCGGATAAACATCGTTACCATCCAACAGACCATTTGACCTGGAAATGATTAATTGAGAGTGGTATCCTGCTTGGGCCAGCAGGGTGTCATCCAAACTGTGAGCACCAGGACGAAGACGCTCCATGAGTAAATAAGAGACCTTATGTGAAATGAGAGCGTGCTTGGAGAGCAAAATACAGGTTTTGTCTCAGAAGAGGGTGATAAAAAAGGACTGAGAGGAGCCCTTATGTCATGGTATTAAATAAAGCTTCATACTTGAGTGGGCATGGTTTAATGTGAACAAATGGCCCCTGGAGTTGCTAAAAATGAGAAACAGTGCGTAAAAGACCTTCTTGTGGTGAGGAAATGTATCCTAGGTCACACAAGAGAGAACTGTGGTCAAAGAATATCATATATCAATGACCTGCATTTCTCAATGTTTGCCCTCCAACATACTCTCCCTTGCTAAACCCTATAGAAGACTTTTTGAGCAGTGGAATGACAGATAATAGCAATGAGAAACTTAGCAAAAGGGGTTTTTGATTCCTCTTTTGTTTGTTTGTTTTTTAAAATTTACATTTGAAGAGTTTGTGTTTGTGCAGTTTAACTGGCATCAGCAGGTGGTTTTGGAATTCATACAAGAACGTTGGCCCAGTTTTCTGTATGAGGAATGAACTCAGTCAACTGTCTCACTTCCTGCTTCAACAGGTAGGAGATGGACAGACGTGTATTTCAGTCAGTGTTGGGAGGGAGATGCAGCCTTTACAGAGGCGTTAAACCAAATATACATTTGTTTAGAACAATAAACGCTATGTAAACTAGAATGGTGCTCAGTGGAGTGCATTGTACAAAGAAATAAAGGAAGTGTTCTCATAACCTAAATAAATTATGAACAACACCCATAATTGTATTTCTCTGCAGGGCCAGTTATTTTAATCCTTTAGTTAAATGATTTGTCTTAAGACAAACACTAAAACACTAAAACCCTGGAGGCGGGACAGCTGCAGCCAAAGCATGAGAGCTGTAGACGCTCAGCAGCTCCAGCAGAGGGCTGAATACTTTCCTCTGAAATATGTCATCTGATTCCTTAATACATTTCTATTTTATCAGTTTCTGAGGAAAAACACGAATTGTATTTTACTAATCCACTCAAAAATATAACATTTTTAAATTTCAGCATTTTTTTCACCAAGTGAATTACTCACATTTAAGAGTGAAATTACAGGTTAAATTTGGATTTTGGATTTTTCTTAGCTGATCAATGTGAAAGATATATGTCTGTTAACATTAACATTAAGTGTTTTACTTTTTTGATCACGTAAATTACAAAAATGTTAACACAGAAATTGTGTTTTCTTCAGAAGATGATTAAAAAAAAAGTTTTTTTACACCTGTTTGTCTTCGAGCATTACTTTTTTAATCAAGAGAAGCATCGGTAAATATACTAATAATAATTGATACCTATATTAACTGATGTATTTTAACATCTTTTTTCCGGTCAGACGTTCTGAATTTTGACACTGATGCTTCCTTTTGTTGACATCACACACTGTACACTGGCTTTCTGGGTCACTTAAATTATACAGAGCCCTCACAATGTTTCCAGGAACATGTTTGCTGTTTCACCTGCGTGACAAGTCTAAATGTCAATCAAGAAAATTGGCCTTAATTACTAGGAAAATATTGGATAATTACTGGGCTGCAACTCGCTGCAGTCAATCAATACAGGCCGTAACACAGCCCTGAATGTGGAGAGGCGAGGTTTGAATGATGGAGCAAAAAATGTGAGTGCATGTCCTTGTAAAAGGTTTGTGTTGCAGGGTTGCCATCATAACTGGCTGTGTCTGATGGTCAAAGGAGTACATGGGTGTTGATAAGTCCAGAACTTCATTCAAAAACTCTCACAAAATGTCTCAGGCTCTCTCTGACGCATCCAGAATGCACTTGTAAAATATAGAGTTTACCCTACATCTTTTTTAGGGTAATCCATCTTTAAACCCATCCTTAAAACTCCCATGACCCTCAGACACAGCTTTGCTCCGAGCTGTCCACTCTGCACAAAGACCAAGTTCAATGCACGTACTTTAAACGTCAAAATCCCACTGAAAAATGGAACACAGGCTTTTAGGAATTCACAGATTAGAGACACTGAGCTTTTGAGGGAATCTATCAACATCGTCCTTTTCTTGAAGACATCGGAAAAAAAAGTTTCAACGCTGTTCATTGCTGAAAAAATGAACTAAATTCGCACTAATCTTAACCACACACAATTCATTAATGGTCAGATTAAGCCTCCAGATCTAGAGATGTGGCCGACCGAAAAAAATTCAATGACGAGGGTAGGACGGAGGGAGTGTTTTCATGTTGTTCGGTCTGCATGAGAAGGAGGCAGCGAAGTGAACACTTCTCCTTGCTCATTATCTCATTGCATTAAAACAATTACACGGATTTGATGCTCATGCACACGTACAAAGAACGCCTCAGCCTTATTATCTGTCTGCATGAGTTTGTTTCAAAACATGCCCCAGCACAGGTCGACAATCACTTGCGTTTTCTTTGTCCTCAGATCGGCTGACACTAATTCAAACAATACTCCCCTGCAGACACTGAGGCATTTTAATAACAGTTGCTATGAAGACGCTACTCTGCAGAATCAGCTACATTTCCTTTCTGCACACAGTGTGAATTCACATACAAATTTCAGCTTTTTTAATGAGAACAAACCCTGGAATCTGAGTATAACTTAACAAATCTAAGAGGAAGGAGAAGACACGAGCAGAGGGAAAACTTTCAGCCAGTGAGTGACGAGATGACAATGACGCAACTTTCTAAGATGTGTTTTTTCTTTTTCTAGGGTAAAATAAATGAATTTTCTCAGCTGAATTTTCTGTTTTTGTTTAGCTCAATGTAAAACTGTGAATTATTCATTATTAAAAATTGCTTCTTTCATTCTTATCAAACTACTTTGTATTTGTCTGCCTCTACTATGTGTTTTATTTGTTTTACATCAGTCCCTGATCTGCGGCTCAGCCCTCGTCAGCCTTGCACACTTCACATCTATGTCATTACAGCCTGACCTACTTCCAGCTTCCTGGATTTATGTAACAGTTCAGAGAAGCGTTACATAATGGCAGGAGGAGGCGTGTCTGCCATGTGTCTCCACGTGTCTGACAGGCCGAGCGGCAGCACAATGAAAGACATGGCATGGTTTTGAACTCTCCTCGACATAAACAACCCTAAAATGAGGACGTGTGTAAGATAAAGTTAGGGCTTTGATTTAGCAACTTGAATTTTCTTCTTTTATTCCTTCTCTGAGGTTTTTGGAGGAAAAGGTCAGAACGCCTCTCGGCAAATACCGGTCGAGCTAGTAGAAGCTGTGATGTCCCTGATAGGGCGCAAATGAATATGGGACATGGCTGCTGCATAAAAGGCTTTAAATCAGCAATGAATGGAGAATGAATGTTCATCAAACCATGACTTACAATATGTTTTTAGCAGGATTGTGGATTTGTCAAATTTAGGGAAAAGACAATGAAGGAGAAGACAAATTTGTTTACTGTAATTGCTTTTCAAAGTTTTGAGACGAAAATCAACAGGCTTTAAAAAATACTGAAATAAAGAACAGACAAAGACCAAAACAGACTTGCTCATCTAATTCAAAAAGGGCTTTTGCCTGGAAATGTTGAATAATAATGACAATTTTAAACCATTTACCTTGTATACAAAAGTCTGTTTTGGTGATCTGTATTATTTAATCTTTGTATTTTTCTCTTATCTTTTAGTATTTCATCTTCGTGTCTCTTTGTTTACCAGCTTTCGAAATTTCCTCTTTGCAATTTTATGAGACTTACAATAGCATTTCCTCAGTTCCTGTCGTCATTGTTTTGGTCCTTGCCATGAGGGTGGGTGGAGTGGTGCGGACAAGATATATATTGTTTTTATAGCTTTTATTCTAGGAAGCGCTTTGTGTTACACTGTTTGTATTGAAAGTACTCTTCAAATAATGTGAGGAAATAACGTTAGGCCATGAATCATGGAGAAAAAGATTTCTATTGCAGAGCTGGATGCACGTATTTCAAATAAGGTTTCAGTTATGTTGTAAATTCAATTTATTTCAAATAATAAATTCCAACAAAATAAAAGGTTTCATGGGAAGAATCATATAATGTTGTTCTTGTTTTCTTACAGGTCAGCTGGACATGTAAAATGTGACGTCTCAACAAACAATTCAGCATTAATGAGGAATATGTTCTCCATAATATTTAATATAAAATATATTAATATATGTTTAGATGAAACAGTTTCTTTCCTGGAAATCCAACTAGAAGTATTAAACATAACTAACTGTATTAAAGGTTAAATTAAGTCTCAAAACTGTCAGAATTATTTTTCCTATAATTAGGCCAAAATAACTTAATTGTGATTTTCAGGAAACTTACAAGAAATTGTTAGGAAATAATGGACCTGTAAAATAAATGAAAACCAAGGTTTGTCAATGTTGTAAGATTTGCGCATCTTTTAAAAATATTTTTAGAAATGATGCTCAAACTACAGCTCACTTTAAATAGACAAATCATGAAAAAATATCTTTATATTTAAAAAAATCTAATTGATATATATATATATATATATATATATATATAAATATTAAAAAAACACTACATTCAATATTATTAATATACATTTAGAAGCGTAGAAGTGGAGGTACAAGGATCATTTATTGCATATGTCAAATAGAGTGCAAAAGCTAAGTAGAAAAACTGCCTGGTGATGATGTATGATGTATGAACAGTCTGCACCTGAACAACTGCAGTTTGAAAATATTATTCTCATCATCCCGCTGCCATAAAACGAGCCTGGGCCCTGCACCGCCGCTGCCTAACGCCTCTGTGTTCTACGGCAAATTGTTGTTTTTACTTTCGGACACTGAGTAATGTTGTTTTTTCCATGTACAAGTGGATGATTGAAAGTTAACTCTGTTTGGTTCGCTGGTATATTCATGACCTGAATTAATCCACAGAGGCATGCAAGACGTTGGCTGTCATCTCGCCCTGTAATCCTGTTTTGTTTTTGAATGTGGGCTAATTCTCTCCTTCCCTTGTATGGTCAGACCCACAGTGGAAAAAACCAGGTAATAAGAACCCACTCGTATGTTCAGCCAATCATCAGTTTTACCATAATCTCAGACCCAATCCCAGACCCGAGGATTGGACCAATTCAAGGGTCTTACTGATAACAATCTTGTGAAGTAGCAGATGGTGAGACAAGGAGGCCTTGTGGTCAGATATTATTAAACCGCACCATAGCAACAGAGTTGTTGCACTGCTGGGACTACAGATCTGTTAACCTTGCTAATATAACAAATCATACAAACAACGACAAACACACAAGATGGCTGTCACACAGCGGCTAAGACCATGAACCAGGCTGCTATTAGGTAAGCACACAGAAAAAAGTACGAGATGAAAAAGAGGAGAAAGAAGAAGAAGAAGAAGAAAAACGAGTTAAGGTCTCTATAACTCTATAAACGTAAATGTAAGTTTGCCTCGAAAATGATCATTAATATGAAAAAAATATAAAGAGTTATTTGTTAAATTGAGTTTAAGAGGAAACTAGAGGAGAATCCGCTTGGAAGCACACAACTGAATACAAATAAACTTTTTTTTTTTTTACCAGGACTGCAATTTCACCATGGATCCTTTTTTTTTTATGCGAAGAATTTGCCTTCCAGGTCAAAATGATGAATGTAATAACTAAACACAAACCACAATCATATTTTCACATGCACCTCAGCTGACTCCTTTTAGTTGAGTGACTTTATTAGGTTTGGTTCTCCCTTGCATGAACATAAGTACTTTCTTTCTTTTAAAAAACCAAGCGAGAGATTTTGGAATATGTTTGAAGCCCTTTTTTTTTTTCAAACCATTTGGCAAACACCAGAGACCTTTGGTTAACTGATCTACACCCTTAACAAGTGCGTACACTGTCATCTGGTTAACTTATTAACTTGATGACGCACTGGAGGCTTAACTTCTGATATTTTTCCCTTCATGTCACACAGTTCATTCACTTCTGCCTCGATCCCTAATAACACAAACCAGCTGCTCCTCTGCTCACCTCGTTCTCCTCCTTCATGCCGTCTACGAGCTCCATCACCTGGATGAAGTGGCGGCAGCGGAGGGAGTGATCGACGACATGGGTGGGCAACACTTTGTGCTGCCAGTGTCTCCATTCCCACAAAGACAGCTCTCTGGACGGGGGGCAGCTTTTGTCAAGTTCCTTCTTCAAGACATAAAATCACATACAAATAGAAGGTGTTAGAGAGTATTAGTGTTATTCTCCAGCCACTGAAATGACACAGAGGGGATGATGGCAGGGTTCCTGCACGTATTCTTCTTTTCAACTCCTGACTTTTCCATATGTAATTTTCCAACTTCGGGCAGGAGATTTTTCTCACTGAGGTAATGGCAAATTCAGGGGGCGGCCTTCACACACAGCTGAAAACTGGAACCACAGTATGATTGATTTAGGGATGCTTTATACGAAGGGTGCCAACAAACGCATATCCATCTTCCAGAAATCTCTGTCTGTGGCTCACATATCTCAAGAACCACTCATCTCATCGTCTTCACACTTGGCATGTGTATTGTTGAGGGCCCAAGGAAGTTCAGTGTTGAATCTGGTGCGATTTGGACACACGGTATGTTCAATATATTTGAATAAACAGGAAACCAGCGCTCTGTAGCAGTTTTACTTAATTCTTATCATCTACATCATGAGAACAGTTTTAAATGGAACCTCTTGGCTAACTGGTAACTATGGTACTATTTTTCAGTTTCCGTTTGCAATTTTGACTATTGGCCAATTGTTAGAATTATCAAAATGCCAACTAGTGGTAACCTCAAATCTAGTATGTTTCTCTTAAGTGTTTGTATACTAAGACAAAAAGTTAATTTCACTGTTTATTTTTTTGTACAAAAACATATTAAGTCTGCTTTATTTTCTTCTACATTGTCCTCCCTACCTCCAAGACAGAAACAAACAAACAGAAATTCAGACAGAATGATAACCTGAGGCGGTCGATCACTGGGTATGGACACAAAGTGTGACTGCTTCAGGGTCGGATGAGCGTCATCATCTTGCAGCCTCATGGTGGACGCCCACAGGGAATATTCCGCACTGCTCAGAAACCCGTCAGATGTTGACCTGCTCTGCTGAACTACAATATTGGACACACACAAACTCAGACACCAATTTTTCTCTATCTCCATTCTGAATAATCAAAATACTCTTCACTTCTTCCTTGCTGCTTACATAAGTTCTGAGGGTGGATGAGGGAGCTCCGTCTCTCACAGTGGGACCGTCGACCGCCGCCGGACGCCCTGCTGCTCTCCCTGATTTCAAACTGGCCACAGGTAATGTGCATCTTGTGCAGGGTGGGGTTCACTCCCTCTGGCAGCATGCGGGGACTGTTGGGATACATGTGGAAGCCACTCTTGTTGCCAGTGATGGACTTGTAAACACTGCGCTTGTTGCTCTGGCTCTGGTTGTACGTCTGAAGGTGAATGAAAAGTTCAAATTTAGGTCATTTTGTGCAATTGTTTGTGAGACGAGAAAATTCAATTCAAATTTAATTCAAGGATCACATGTTTTTTTTTTTTTAAACACTCACTCTCTCCTCGCGTCCTTCAGCCAGGATGACAACGATGCGTCCCTGCCTTTTACGGCCGGTACGTCCCATCCGCTGCACAAGGCGAATGGGATTCTTCTGCGCATCGAAGCAAATGATGAGGTCCACCTCTCCGATGTCCAGCCCCTCTTCCCCCACGCAGGTCGACACCAGCGTGTTGAAGCCTCCCTGACGAAACCTGTGCACCACCTAAAACGTGACAATATATACAAAGATATAAATATAGAGGCCTTTTTATAATGCAGTGTCTGGTCTATAATGCAGTGTCTGGTCTATATTAACACATTAAGTGTGTGCAGCAGTCAACAGGAGGCTATGTACATTTACATTATGAGCACCATTCCTGCATTATTTAGTCAGAGGA